AAAAGCAACTGATGAACCATCTGATCTACTGATATTAGGGGACTTTAATATTGATTATAAAATGGACGAATCACTCCATGAAAACCAAATTAATCTCATAGAAAATCTTTTCCTTCTAACACAAATGATAAATAAACCAACAAGAGTAACTACTTCATCATCAACTTGTATAGACCATTTGTTAAGTTCAATTCCCCAGAAGCACATTATATGTGATGTTGCAAAAATTTCCATGAGTGACCATTATATGATTTATACTTGTATTAACACTATCATGGAAAGGAAGCAACATAAAACTCGTCGTTTTCGTGAGTATAAATCATTTGATGAAAATCGATTTATTGCTTCTATAAAATCAGCTGAAATATTTCAATTAACTAACGATGTTCCAATCAAAGTAACACGGAATACTTGGAAAGAAACATTTTTGAAAATAAGTAACGAACATGCACCTATCAAGACAACTAGGGTAAAAGACAGATTTTGTCCTTGGATGACTCCAGAAATTGTAAAACTTATGTACACCAGAGATTTGCTTAAAAGAAAGTCTGTGTCTTCTCCTGAACAAGAAATTCGAAATGATTTTGATAAAAAGTATAAAAAAAACTAAAAAAACATATTATCTGTATCATACGAAAACAAAAACAGGAATTTTTTTTGGGATGTACATAATAAACATAAGAATAATTTGAAGAAATTATGGACAGAATTGAATAAGATTTCTGGAGTGACAAAGTCTAAGGACCAGAGCTGTAATATTGAATGTAATGAATTGAACAATTTTTTTATTAATACAGGTAACAATATCTCTAGATCATTTGTTAAAGAAAAACCGAAATGGAATCATCCACATTGTATTTATGAATTTTATTTTCAACCAATTGTTAGTTCCAAGATTCTAAAACATTTAACTAACTTAGCTTCAAATAGCAATTTAGATGTCTTAGACTTTGACACTAAATTACTCAAATTAGCTGCACCATATATTGCTCAATCCCTATGTGCGATCTTTAATGCAAGTCAGGATACGGGAATAGTACCTGATGATTGGAAGATTAATAATAATAATTACAGTGCTTATATAGCGCCTAACACTTACTTTGTCAGAAGTCTCTAAGCGCTCTACAATAATGCAGCATAATTACCCTGGCTTTAGCAGTGCAGCTGTTACGCGCGCTGCGTTTCAAAATTCCTACCGGGTACCCATTTACTTCACCTGGGTGGAGTGTGGCAAATGTAGATCAATGTCTTGCCAAAGGACATTAGTGCAGCGGCGGGACTCGAACCGCGGACCTTGTGATCCACAGTCCAACGACTTATCCACTGGACCACAACACCTCTACACGATTGCACGTACCACACCGATTTCCAAAGGAAAGGCTCAAAAAATGAAAAAAAAAAAATTATCAACCAATTTCGGTTGCTAGTCATATTCCCAAAATTATCGAAAAGGAAGTACAATTACAGTTACTTTCCTACCTTCAAAAACATGATATGATTAATGTCGATCAATACGCCTTTCTTCCAAACCATTCAACTGTAACATGCTTACATCGTGTCATAGATGACTTCTACGAAGCCTTAAATACGAAAGAAATGGTTGGTGCATGCTTTCTAGACATCTCTAAATGTTTTGATTGTGTTGATCACGAGCTTCTTCTATTCAAACTTGAAAAATATGGAATAACTGAAAACAGGCTCATATGGTTCAAAAACTACTTAAGTAATAGGAAGCAAGTGGTATACTCCAAAAGAAAATTATCTGATACAAGAGAGCTTTCTATCGGAGTACCACAGGGCAGTGTCCTGGCCCCCATATTGTTTCTTATATTCATATATGATATATCTGAATGTATAACTGAAGGCGCCTGCAACATATTTGCTGATGATGTTGTAGTCACTGTTGCAGATAGTAAGCTAGATTATGTTACAAAGAAATTACAAAAAGATATTAATGCTCTTAATAATTGGTATAAACAAAATCGATTATGCATTAACACAAGTAAAACCAAAACAATGTTAATAAAATTAAGATCCTCTGAAGTATTAAATATATACATAAAAGATGAACTGATCGAACAGGTAAAATCTATAAGATATTTAGGTATAGTGATTGATGAAAATTTGAAGTGGAATGTATATTTAAGAGACTTATGTAAATCTATTGCCTATAAAATCTATTCTCTAGGAAAGCTGAGTAAATTCGTAATCCCAGAACTATTGAACACCCTTTATAAGTGTGTAATCCAACCCTGTATAGACTATGCAATTTCTGTATGGGGGAATTGCCCAGCCAGCTACAAGCTGCCCCTTCAGAGATTACAGAAAAGAGCTGCTAGATATGTAACTGGTATCTTTGACTATGAACTTGCAAGCGGCAACACATTGATAAAAAACTGTCCTGGCAAACTATTGATCAGCGCCGTGATTATTTTCTGGCTATGCTTATGTTTACATGTATAAGGGGCATTGCTCCACCTCGTTTATCAAATGAAATAGAAATGTATTTCGACCGCCATGGCCTAAACACAAGAAATGCAAACTCCCTTAATGTAGTATTGCCAAAACCCAACGTAACCTTATTCAAACAATCTTTTAAGTATGCTGGAGCGGTTAATTGGAATAAGCTTCCCAATGATATCCAAAATGCCAATTCAGTAGAGAGTTTTAAATATCAATATAAAAAATATTCCTTTAATGGATAAAATTTGTTCACTGCCGTTTCTCCTCACTACTACAACATTGTATGCAATAACTATAATGATTGCTAACCCAATTACCTAGAAATTTCAAATACCTACATAACGTCCTAAATTTGATATTTATCTTTTATAATTATGCAATATAAACCATATTCACAACTCATTGGGCTTAATCTCGACATAAAATGTTTATTAACTTCATTTTTATATATAATTCTAATGTAAAATGTCATAATGTAAATGTCATATTGCATTATTTTATATTTTTTCTCCTCTTTTCGTTTTCCCTAATCTTATTTTTCCTATTTGTGTTGTTTTCGTTTTTTACCATTTGTATAAAACTGCTACTTTGTTTGTAACTACTCTTAATGTCAGTCTGTATTTGTATTTTCCATCCTTATGCAGGACCATTATGTAAAACAGCCTGCGAGCTGATTAATGTTATCCTGTTAAAAGATGTTTTAATAAATAAATAAATAAAAAATAAGTCGCTTAAATGCAACATTATTATATGCATATAAAGGTTCAATTTCAACAAATCAGAAGGAAATAATGCACAAAGACTTTAAGTTGTTCATAAAGGATTTATATGGTATGTTACATCGTTAGATGCCATTTTGCAACCTCATGACATTAGTATAATCAAACAAACTGCCATCTCTACTAAGCTTCCTCACTATTTCCTCATTTGATTTTTTAAAACCCAGGTCGAAATTCCATTAGGATCCGATCCTATTGGACCATCAGAAACCATTAGAGCTATTGGTGCCTAATGGTTTCAATAGGGAAAGTGAAATGATGGACCCACAGAAACCATTAGAAAATATCTATTGGACCAACACAAACCCACAGAAAAATTGCTGATGGACCAACAGAAAGCTTCTATTGGACCAGCATCCACCCATGACTTCTATGGGTTTCTGTTGGTCCATTAGATATTTTCTTCTATGATGGGTTTCTGTTGGTCCGTTAGATATTTTCTATGGGTTCCTGTTGGTCCATTAGAGATCTTCTATGGGTTTCTAATGGTCCCATATTCTGAATTCCCTATTGAAACCAATAGTCCAATGGCTTCTATTGGTAAATCAATAATGATAAATCAAAATCGATTTTAGCAACTGTTTAGCAACTGTCCACCAAAAAAAGTATATTCTAATCTCAATTGCATTAACTTCATCACATAGATCACTTGAAGTGAGTTTAAGAATATCCTTTATTTTAACTGAAGGCTTGTACTATTCTATATAATAAACATACATGAATTGTTTCTTGGTTAGTAATCATTATAATCAATATATCTAGGCCTATTGCTAAAACATGAATGAAATTGTAACATGATTAAACAAATAATCTATTGGTCATTAGTTGCCGAAAGAAAATAAAAATCACAAAATTGATGTAGGCCTACATTGTCATAAGTTGCTTAACAAATTATGATAAATGTCATTTTCTGTGAACACGTATAAAGTAATCATGAATATGCATGAGATAGATTGGTTTCTATTGGACCTATTGGTTTCTATTGGTCCCATTGGGTTCTATTGGTCTCATTGGTTTTATATTGGTCATATCGGTCCTATTGGTCCTATTGGTTCTATCGGTTCTATTGGTTTCTATTGGTCTTATTGGTTTATATTAGTCCTATTGGTTTCTATTGGTCATATTGGTCCTATTGGTTTCTATTGGTCTTATTGGTTTCTATTGGTCCTATTGGTTTCTATTGGTCCTATTGGTTTCTATTTCTATTGGTTTCTATGGGTGCTATTGGTTTCTATTGGTTTCTGATGGTTTGAATGGTCTCTATTGGATTCAATTCTATGGGTCCAACAGAAACCAATAGACTCCAACAGAAACCATTAGAGACCAATAGAATTTTTCTAATGGTCTCTGTTGGTCTCTATGGGATTTTGGACCTGGGTTATTAAATCTCTTACTGGTAAATCATTTATACCCTATCTGTCGTCTGAATCCACTAATGACTTTAACTGGTTCTTGACCCCCCCCCCCCCCCCAAGTAATTAATCAAACAATCATGACAATGTAAACTGAATATTTATAGAAATGGACTTTTGTCAAACTTTAGAGAAAGAGGGGAAGGAAGCAAAGAGGGTATGGTATCGTTATACAGGCATGCCCTCAACAATTTAGGCAACTATAGGAGAGGGTGGATATGGGCATGCCACACGGAAGGAGTTCAAGCTATGAACCACATAATACCAAGTACCGGTATGTAAAAGGCATGACTAGTTCTTTATATTGTCTGAGTTTGTTTTTATTTTGTTTTGTTTGTTTGTTCAGGAACCCAGTCTTAGAAGACATAGTCTGTGATTCGATCTGCAGGGAGGGGCAGATGAGGATTGTTTACATCCACAAGTTTGTCTGCGTCGACACGATTGAGGAGAGGATATTAGAACTACAGGAAAAGAAAAGACAGCTTGCCAAAGATGTACTCACAGGGTAGGTGTATAGTATACAAATGATGCATTCAGATACGATCTATCAGCCCTCGAGTTGAGGCTGTGTGTATCTATCGCACAATGTTTTCAAAGCCGTTAGGCCGAGTGCGATAGATACACACAGCATCAACGAGGGCGGATAAATCGTATAATAATGAATGACTGAAAACATGCATCATTTGTTTTATACTACGAAACTCCTAGCTAGATCCTTGTTATTTGATGTAAAAAGAATTCATTCAAGATTGTTTCGTGACAGAAACCAAATAAATATCAAGTTCAATAGGCTTAATTTACCGGTAGTGCGCACACAAATAAGCGCACTTACCTCTATACGCATTTACGCAAAGTGTTGCGCAAGAATAGGCCCACACGCAGTATAAGCGCCCTAACCAAAGTGCACTACTGTGATAATACTGGAAACTATTGCACGCTTTTTCATGAAAAAAACGTGGGATAGTCTCAGTAAATGAATCCGATGACCGCGCATGACCAATCATTTGATTAGCTATGAGTGAGTTGTATAATAGCTACAGATATGTCATGAAACTTCTGTAAAGGACTTATTCATCTAGCTGTCTAATGTGCCATGTAAAACGTAAGGCCTGTGTTGAATTATGACATCAAACAGTGATTCAGTATACATGTATATTATCTTTTATTTATAGAATATTATATTTTCGAACAATCTATTGTTTGAGTAATGTAAATACAATGTTTGGAGCTTATCGTGAAGCTCTGTCTAAATGTAACTGCATAAATTTGCCGTTATATGAAATGCTCCTAGCATGCATGTATGTTGAATGATTTGAATGGATTTGAATTGGCCACTTTGTTGTTATCATATTATCTGCTGAGAGCCAGAAGGGCATTAAATCATCGTAAAATGATGAGTTGACTTTATTCTGGCTCTTAACAGACTATTTTAATTTTTTTCTGACTCTGACTCTGACTGCTCCTTTATTTCATTGTATCCCTCCAGGTCCAAGGAGGTACCCAGTCAGGCAGATCTGGAATTCTTGATTGGCGACCTGTACCAAAATGAAGCATAGTGATTGACTCTTGGCCCAGGTGACCTTTGATCTGGATGACCCTTGCCTTAGATGACCCTTGACCCTGCATGACTGTTGATCTAGATTAGAGCTAATATTCATGAAAATTGCAATTTAGAGGAAATATAATTTGCATATCAGTTTGACTGATAATTTTCTGCCTTTTAACTGAATTCCATAGGCAGTCTGACACAGGAGAAAGAAAATATTTTAACAATATAGAAACTTTTGTGAATTTCTTCATTTTCTTGAGTGGTTGAATTCATGAATGTTTTATGCTGAAAAACAAACAAATCACCATGCTGCATGTTAACGATTCATGAAATTGTCTGACTATGCAGTTAACATAATACATATATGATGTTCATTTATCTGTTGTCAATTCTCTTTGAGGGGTTTCAGATTGTACTCTTAATTATGTAATATTAAAATGTGTTTCATATTTTATAATATGATATCTCAGTGCAAAACTTATCACATAATTTATATGCCTACAAAAGAGAAAGGATATGTGAAAATCAAGTCATTTTTTGATGTTTTATTTGTATATATATATATATATATATGAGTGAGACAGTTGTTGCTGTTTTTATTGAAGCATTTACTGGTAAAGATCAAAATGATTATGTAAATCCTCAGTGGAGGGTCAGAAGAACATTAAGTCTATGTAAAAGTAAACACCATTTGGGATTTCAGCTTTAATTAGCGTGGCTGCCTTCATGACTGTCTAGCATTTTAAGGTATTACTTCCTGCCAGGTACCCATTTCCTCTCCTGGGTGGAGTGTGGCAAATGTAGAATCATGTCATGTCAAAGGACATTATAGTGCTGCGGCAGGACTCAAATCGCAAACCACATGATCCACAGTCCAATGATGTTTCCTCTAGACCATGACAAATCCATAGTATAGCTGGAATGGTAAATTGTAATGAAGACTACTTGGTATACACTTTTGAATCCAGACATACACATACATGTATGTGAGTTGAGTTGAAGTTTTATTATCCAACCATAAAAGTACAATAATATAACAATAATAACAATAATAAATGCATGTTTAGCAAAGATAAATGGGACCAGAAAATAGCATAAAATGCTAATCATGTCTGGTACCTTTAAAGTACAGTATCTTAACAAATAAAAATGGGACCAGAAAATAGCATAAAATGCTTATCATGTCTGGTACCTTTAAAGTACAGTATCTTAACAAATAAAAATGGGACCAGAAAATAGCATAAAATGCTTATCATGTCTGGTACCTTTAAAGTACAGTATCTTAACAAATAAAAATGTAAATATGTATATATATATATATATATGAATAATTGTTGAATACACGTATACTAGTATACTAAAGCTACATACTATTCTATGTATCTAAGATAATATGTCTGTGTGTTCAAATGCAAAACCTAAACTTGTATAAATAGGAATTCTTAATAAAACAATACAACCATGTATCATACACTGTCAAAAAAATATAGAATATATTTTCTAATGAAAGGCAAGAACCTTGGTGTAATGCATAGTTTATTATTAGTTATTCTATTAACATTTGTGCTGTACTACAAAAACAAGAAACTAAAGCTTTTTCCCTGACAGATTAGGTAAATCATTCCAGAAGCATACGCCTCTGCATGTATGACACAAATGTACTTTGCGTTGTCCTTAATTAAGGTACACTTAGCTTTTTATTTTCTCTTTGTCTTGTCTCATATCTGTGCTCTACGAAAGAGCAGTACTGAACAAGGGACTGTGGCAATTTATTTTTCAATCGAAAACTTCGAAATAAGGTTTAACGAAACATCAAATATGCGAAGTAGAGTTACTATAAAAATAACATTGAATGTCTGAAACACTCCGAACCTGGAAAGTGGCATCGCCAGATACGTTCTCTCGTTGGTTTCACCAAACAGCCTTTGAAATTTTCAAGTGAAAAATTTCCTCAACAAGTAGCTGATGATTTGAATTCATATTTCACTGGTATATGTACACAGTTACCTCCTTTGAATTTGTCAACATTACCTGCGTACCTTTCCGCGCCATCATCAACCCCTGTGATCCGGGATAATGAAGTGTATATGCTCGTCTCAAGCGTCTCAATGCTTCGAAGGCCGCTCATCCGCATGATATTCCTGTCCCTTTAGTTAAAGAGTTTGCCTTAGAACTTTCCGCGCCCCTTACCAAGATCTTCAACCATTGTCTACGCTCCGGATGCTTTCCCCGAAAATGGAAGAATGCCTCAGTATGTGCAATCCCGAAGGTTCCTCGAGCGTCTGAATTTTCTCAACTCCGCCCGATATCCATCACTTCTGTTTTTGCTAGAGTCTTTGAGAGTTTTTTTGGCGGACTGGATAATGTCAGATTTGAAATCCCACATAGATCCTTCTCAATTCGGAAATATTAAAGGTAGCCCTGTTAATCATTATTTGATAAGCATGTTAGACGTCATCCAAAGTAATCTTGACAAACAGGGATGTCATGTAAACCTTTACACAGTAGACTTCATGAAGGCTTTTGATCTAGTTAATCACAGAATTGTAATTGAAAAGCTTATTGGAATAGGTGTAGACGCCTCTATCCTACCAACTGTGTGCAGCTTTCTCAGCGATCGCTCTTAAACAGTGAGGTACCAGAGGAAAACCTCAACATCGTTGAACCTCACTTGCGGCGTCCCCCAAGGGACCAAATTGGGTCCGATCATTTTCCTCGTTATGGTGAACGATGCGGCCCTTACTACTGAGGATAGGTGGAAGTATGTGGATGGCCTCAGTACATGTATGTTGGAAGTTGTTCATAAATCACAAGAAAGTTCCCTGCAAACCCACATCGATGCGCTGAGTGAATGGTGCAATGTGAATGATATGAAGCCCAAACCAGAGAAATGCAAAGTCATGCGATTTAGTTTCTTGAGAAATCCTCCACCGAAAGTACCGTTTACCATCAACGGAAGTCGCTTAGAATGGGTCGACTCACAAGTTCTTCTTGGAATCGCGATACAAGCGAATCTTAAATGGGATCGTCAAGTCCAGACCATGGTCTCTCGTGCTGCACGTCGATTGTACATCCTAAGCGTCTTGAAAAAGAATGGTGCTAATGTAGAGGATTTATTGATCATCTATAAGTCCTATATTCGTCCTGTGTTGGAGTTTGGATCACCTGTCTGGGGATCAAGTCTCACCAAGGCTCAGGTTGATGAACTTGAGCGGGTTCAAAAACGTGTCCTCCGCTTCATAGCTTTCCCCAATGTTCTCTCGTAAAGTAAGCAACTCATCCTGTATGGACTCACTTCCTTGGAACTAAGAAGGAATGAGCTTCTCCTTCATTTTGGTGAAAGTTTGCTCCAGTCTGATCGTTATCGTAACTTTTTGCCCCCTACTAGACAATCACAGTCCCGTACACGATTACAACTTCGGAACTCTCAAAGTCTTGACATTCCATTTTGTAGAACGCAGAGATATAGGCTATCAACTATCCTTTCTCTGTCAGTCCTTTTGAATTCCTCATTGTAACTCTTTTTTAAACTTATTTATTTATCTATTTATCTTTCTCACTGTTCATAGCTGTGGTACTTTTGTGAGATTTCACGTAATATGCAATGATCTTCAATGATTATCTATAATGCAGTTCATTTTAATATGCAAACCTATTTATCGTGGATATTCCCTGTTCTTTGATCTTATTTTTCACTATCTTATACTACCTTTATTCTTGTCTTCCCTCTCCCCCTCTCTTTTCTATTCGTATCTGTGTTCTCTCTATTGTTTATAAGATGCATGATTTTTCTTTTCCTTGAATGCCATTAATTTTGAATTCGTCATTGCAATGCAGCTATATCAACTATTTATTTATCTATTTTTCTTTCTCACTGTTTATAGCTGTGGTACTTTGTTGAGATTACACATAAAAATGCAATGATCTTCAATGATTATCTATAATGCAGTTCACTTTAATTTGCAAATCTATTTATCATGGATATTCCCTGTTCTTTGATCTTATTTTTCACTTTTCTATGCTCCCTTTCTTCTTGTCTTCCCTCTTCCCCTCTCTTCTTCTATTCGTATCTGTTTCCTCTCTATCGTTTATAAGATGCATGATTTCTCTATTCCTTGAAATGTCAGTAGGGTCATCACAATTTTCTTTTTTCCTTTTTTTGTCTTTCTTTCTTTCTCTCTTCCCCCTTATAAGCAAATAGTTTTACTGTGTATCACTATGCGTTTACATGCAAGTTTATTGCCTTATGGTGTATTCTCAATTCTTTACTTGTATAATTATTCTCGTTAACACGTTGTTGACATATTGCACCTTTCCTCTAATAACTTTGATTTTATTGTTCTTCAATGTAATATACTCATATTACTTTACCTCGTGCAATATCGTTTTGATAATATTATCCTTGTACTTTTAGGTTGTTACATTACGTGCTTTATCATGTTACTCATGCTGTGTGAAACCCCTTCTCCTTCTCTTCTCTTGGGTCCTCATCTTTTTCTTTTTTCTTTCTCTTTTCTTACCTCTTTCCTCAGCTATTATCACCTTTTCCCCCTTTTTTTTTCTTTCTTCTTTTTTCACACAATACATTTTTTTTTTTTTTTTTTTTTTTTTTTTTTTAAATCTACATATAATCCTTTTTAGTTACAAAATTATTTACATTGTACTTTGATGTGTTGCGAGTTTGGCATAACTTTACTCTTTTGACTTTAACGAATTCTTTTTTAAATGACGTTGATATATTATATTGTCAAACTTTTTTCTTTTTTTTCTTCTCTTTTTTAAATCTGTTATTTTTACTTTTTAAATCATATTTCAACTTGAGGTGCACTTGGCAGAGATTCTTCTCTCTTTCTATTTTTCTTGTTCTACTCTGTCCCTCTCTACCCCTCTCCTCCAATCTTTCGTATCTTCCCGATCAACTTTGCTTTCTTTCTTTTTTCTTCCTTCTATTCCTCTTTCTAGTTCCGTCTTTCTCTTTCTCTTTCTCTCTCTCTCTCTCCCCCTACTTTTTTTATGACACAGAAGGTTTTTAATGTTTTTAATATTTGTAATATATTTGAACTTTAACGTAATATTTGTAATATATCTCGATTTTGATGTAATATTCGTAATATATTTAGATTTTTATTTAATGTTTGTAATATATTTAGATTTTGATGTAATATTTGATTCTCATTTTGCATAATTTATAGTCGTACGTTTTAGTCATTCATATTTTGTTCGTTTATTGTGTTGTATATTGACTTTGTAAATTGAATCATTTCAGCTTCCCAGCTGCATTTTCTTTTATTTCAATAAACCGAATCAAATTCAAAAAAAAAAATAGTTGATGCATGAAAACACAAATAGATAGTTTATGTAGTTGATACACATTCAATAATTTTAACTCCTGATATCGGGTGTGAATGAGTCCTAAAAGGACTAAATTTTATAGCTCTGAGTGCCATCTTTTGGTTTAATAATAAATATTTCATATTAATTTCATAATTGCTTCCCAAAACCTCAATTCCATATGTAATATGTGGTTGAGTTAATGTTTTATACAATGACAATAAAACATAAACGGTCTTAATCTATATTAAAAAAAAAACTTTATTCTAATACACATATTTGCTCTTTCAATATGAGATTTCAAAGTCAAATGTTGATCTATATGGATTCCTACTAATGATGAAACATCAACTTTTTTTTTCTTGGTGTCGGCTATTTTCAATAGTCCTTGAATTACTACTGGTTGTCTACTCCCTCTTATAAGTAAATAATAAGTTTTTAACAAATCTACTGTGAGTTTATTTATTTTACTTGTGGACACCTTATCGACTTGCATATTAACCACATCCATATCCATTACATTGTAGTAAAGCGAAACCTGATTTTGAGGCAACCTGTATACCGTAAATCTCTGTGTATCAGACGCACCTGTGTATAAGACGCACCCCTATTTGGGGGGAAACCCCCTCCCCTCCCCCCCCTTTTTTTTGCCGACTCCATAGGCAGCAAGCCAGATCCGTGATCAAAACATTTTACTGTGAGGTGCAGTTGAAGGCGCAGATTTTTTATGAAATAATAGTAACAATGTCATTTTTAAAACTAAAGATGACAGACAAATTTTTCTCTAAATCCAAGCAGGTAGTGTTGTTGTAGTTCAATCCCAATTAGATGCTGTGCCATTATTGTAACCCAGGTGACAAATAGTGAGAGTACATTACTGTTGCAACTTTGTAACCTGGATTACAGATTATATAATCTAGTATAGTTTTACTGTATGTGCCACTTCATATAACTTCCTACAGTATCTTACTGTGACTGTATTGGTGCGAGTGGTTAGTCAACACACCTTGTATGACTGAGCTGGGAGACATTGCCAGGCACAGTGCATGTGGAGGGGGCATACATTGCTACTTCACAAAAAAAAAGATTTTCTTTTTCTTCCTTTTTTCGGCGGGAAAAAAGATTTACAGTAGACAAACCACCTGTCCATAAAAGACTGCATTTTTTACTTTACCTGAATAAGTGTTCTCATTAAAATCTGAAATTTGGGGTTAATGTACGGAAAGACCACCTGCTTGTATAGACCATATATATCGTGTGTCTCCCTTGATTGGTCTTTATATAATGATTTCACTGTATCAATAACTGTACACTATCCATACACCAACCCATATATTTCGCTTAATTCAGGAACATCACCTTGTTTAACAAAATTTGAAACTTAGCTTTAATGTCTTATCTTTTATCGTATTTTATCTGTATAAACATCTTAATATTATCCCACCTACGTATCACTGTTGCAATAAACCTGTAAATTGTTAATTATCAACTTTCTATCTCATGTAAAACGAATGACAATTTTATATCATCAATGAAACTGTAAATCGTATTTAAATATACACAATATTTGTTAAGTGTTCTATATATTTTAATGTGTTATCAATGCAATGTTATGCCATGTACTTTTTACTCTGTAAATTGAACAATTTCAGCTTTTAGCCGCATGTCCAATGATTTTTTATCTCAATAAACCAATACAATACAATACAATACAATAGGAAACATATGCCATTGAATTCGGTGGATGAAAAAAAGTGTTGTAAAATATGACTTACCTGCATGATATCCAATATGTATGAATATTGAATATAAGAATGTTGTTTGTATGGATACTATTTGTGCCTTTTTATGAAGTTCTAGTCTTCACATTAAATCATGAATTCTTCCAAATTATTTTATTAGCAAATATGTTTCTCATTTTTGGGGTATTTGTTTATTTTTATCTTGCTTAAAGGTAATACAAAGTTTTGGTATGGGGTCATGAATTCGGTTCAAATGAACATATTGGAAGCATATACGATCCTACAATATTCAGTGATCGTTGTCGCGGTCGAAATCGACTCTAAAGTTATGAAATTGTAAATAATAAACACTTTATGTTGAATAGCTCCCTCTCAAGGTCAAGATATTAATTAAGTTAGTAAACAATGTTATTTGACTAAATTTGACCAATTAGATATTCTCGTTCAGAAATTATATACAACTACATACTCTGAGATTTTCATGGTCGCAGCTACCATTGTACGGCCGTAGGAGCTATTTGAAATTTATCAAAATTTACCGGGAGCACCGGTAAATCTTTGTATTAAATTTTTCTCGAAGCAGAAGTGTTTTAGGGGCTAAAATTTCTGGTGTTTTTAATACATCCACAGGGGCATCCAAATATATCACAATTGTAAAGAATCACTATCACCCCATTTTTCAAAATTTCCCAAAACTTTGTAATACCTTTAAAGTTATGAGATAATATGATCTAGATAACATTTTATTTTGAAAGAATTTTAAAAGATGATAGTTTTCCCATAGCTTATTTTGTTGGTAGGTATGGGAATGCGTCAGGTATATTGTCAGGTGTCATCAAATCATAAGAATTTATATTTTTATGTAGAATATTTAGTAGAATATTCATATAATATTGACTGGCCTTGAGGGAGATAATGTACCACATGTTGCCCAAACTAGACTCATATTGCCCCAAGTAAAAAACGAGGGCAATATGGGTCTTGTGAGGGCAATATATATGTGGTATCTACCAATAGTTAAGCCAATCAATATTTTTATTGTTATCCAAATCAGACATCTAGAGCAAATACATAAATCAACCATGACAATCTCAAAGAACTGAACAAACTTTGTCAACCAGCAGCGCTTGACAAAATTTTCGATACAATGCAAACAGTGTGCCTTTGGTGTGATTATTACGTCAAAACAGAGTGCACGCAAAGTGCGCAGGTTTAATAGATGCGCAATGAGATTGACAAAATACGGCGCTGTCAATATGAGACTATATTTTCACTCATCTCTACATGCAAAGTCTATACGGGCAGAGAGAAAAAGGAAAATACAAAAAATATACCCTTCCATTCCCTCTGCTAATAAAAACTAGGGCAATACGGTTTTGTAAATGACCAGCTCAGATGTCTGATATGGGTAATAATGGCAAAGAATGCCTAATCTATGAATTTGTTGAATTCATAGGAATGGTGACGTATGCCTGTGGAGATTTTATCCTATTTAGTGATCTCTCCCCTACCTGCTGCCAGCCGAACATGGCGTGGTCAAACAAATTCCATAATTTGTTTTTGCCGAGCGTATGAATTTGGGATGACCGCAGGTGGAAGATCGAAGTATAAGGGAATTGCTCTTGAAATAAAAGTCGACCAGATTCTGGACTGGTGGCGAAGAGAAACATGAAAGATTCTACCATTTCATCTACAAATATTGTATCAACTGTTGAGAACCATGTGAGCTAATGAACTTCTTGCCCTGAATAGACAGTATATGGCTTGATTATATAGAGAGCTCTCTATCCTCTCTCACTCTTTCATCTCTCTATCTCATCCTCCCTCCCCACTCCTTCTCCCTTGAATAGACAGTATAGGGCTTGATTACACAGAGCTCTTTTCATTGTTGTACCCATATTCTATCCTCTTTCTCTCTCTTCTTTAAATTCTCTTTTCTCTCCTCAAACCTCCCTCTCTCATTACACAATCATTCCTCTCTAACCATGTCTACCTCCATTTTTCTTCTATTTTACCCCCCAAAACATCTTCTACAACATCTTCGTATCTATTATAATTGAAGGTCATTAATTAATTAATCTTGAGCATCTGTCTATCACTTCTGAAACATGCAACCACCAAAGAGTAAAACAATGAAATAGAAACACAACAAATCAATTAGTTATTTTTCTTTGATCATTATTAGTTTATTGCAACATAATACTGTACAAAGATTGAAGCAGAAGACATGCAAAAGACATGGATAGCAAGCCAAAAATAGCAGTTTGTTATCCTCGATTTGTCAAAGGAACTTCCAAATACAGAGTGAAAATACCAAGTGATCAGCCTAGCATGTTATAAGACACTCAAAATCATAAATGAAAAGAAGAGTTATCATATTAAAAGCAGAATAATCTTTGAGATATTTTGTACATTCAAAAGAAACGCACATTTCCCAATTAATCCAATTTATCAATTATGACAGTGAGGAATAAGTTTATATCGGTTTAAAACTGCCCAGTTTAATCCAATTAAGAATCAACATGGTAGTTTTGCACATGATCATAACAGATAAAAGTATATTGAAAAATTACAGAATTTGTTCTTTGTTGCATAATCTGTTGCCAGCAACATGACCACAACCTTCATCAATAAATCAATTGAATATTTTAATAAACATTACGGCGACAAATGAAGTATATTCTCAAAAAAATATGGCCAAGACGTCAGGAAGACAAAGCAATACAAAATTTATACACTTAATTAATTTCCTTATTTATTAACATTAAAACAAATTATAAATTCTACAGAAACGAACCCACAAAAACCTTTTTCATTTACATGGCAGTAAAAGTACGAACCAAAGAAGTGTCAGAAAGCAAGAATTTAAAATGTAGAAAAACTTGCAATTTTGTCCATGTCCCTTTTCCTTTTGATTTTCAAACAAGAATTGCAAAATTGATTGAATACATTTAACTTGAGAAAAAAAAGGGTTCTCCAACTATCCTGAATATCATTCCTCTGGCAAACTTTTCCCTCTCTTCAAAATTTGATATTCTTCCTCACAAATCCTTACAGGCACACAAGAAAAAAAATAAACCGATAACTTCAGCCGAATGGGGTAGCAATCGGGTAAATATCTCAAACAAACAAACAATCAAACAAACAAACAAACAAGGAGATCAAACAAAACATCTGAATACATACAAGGTGTGGTGTAGATACAAAAAAACATTAATTCAGCTAGCTATTTGGACTACATTGTGATGAACTATTTCTTAGTCTAGCACTATGCAACTAGGTATAAACAAAAAAATGCATTTCAAATAACTCAACAATGTAACTCTTCAGCAAATTGTGGGCAAAAGAAGTTCACATGAATAAATTAAAACTAACAAGCTGGAAATTAATTATGGTATCAGAAAGCACATACATCTATAAGTAAAAAAAACAAGTAGCACTAAACCAAGGGAAATATGAGGAGAAAAAAAAGCATTTTCAGCTATGTAGTGTGTAGCACACATAATGACGGAAATAAGTGTTTCTGCTATATGCATTAAAAGCAAGGTATATTGTACACGTATGAAAGGGAGCACATAAAATACAATGCAAGACAATATATACATTCACATAAAGTAGTTAGAGCCAGAAAATGAGATTTAAACAAAAATTCAAAACAATAATATAATTATGCAATTGTGGCAATTCAAGAGCTCTCTGTTATTAAATTTGAATTGGTAGAATTGGTAGAGTTGGAAAACAACACCTTTTTTCAACCAGCCCTCACAGATAATACGGAAACTGATTATTTTCTTCCACATTTGTTGCCAAATAAATTGTTGCTCAAAGCAAAAGAAATATTCTCGTGTATCTAATTTCACTCTTGAATTTTTTCAACTTCATAATTATTGTTTTACAGACGGTGTTAAGCATGACTATTAAAAAAAACGTAAGATATGAAAATTATGAAAATCAATGTTATTTTACTATGCCCACTTTTATTTTCAAAGAAAGTTTCTACCTTTTCTTCTACAATGACAGTTTAGTTGAATAACTCTCTTACTACTTGCACGCTGGATCAATATCAAAATGATATTCATGAAAAAGCAGATTCCACAAGGCAGTAGCATAGGTATACAATGCACAAACTACAATGTTACATTAAATACTACCTTTAGGCCAAGAGAGAAACACACAAATGTTTGGATCTAATGTCTTTGGTCCCATAGTCATACAGTAGTGAAGGCTCTTTCTCTAAACAATCTTATTTGACCATTCAAGCTACAACCTACTAAAGCGAAACAAAATGTTGACGTGTTTCTGTCCCTTTAATGCTCTTTTTGACATATTTGGCTCAGAGCTTTGAAGCGGTCAATCGACCACATCAAAAACACTTATGGGAGTACAAATGGGGAAAATATCTTACAGATGAGACAGAAGTTGCAGAATGTAGGCTCAGAATGTTAATTACATGATAAAAATATGCACTTTTATATGACCACTGCTATATGAGTGAAAGGCTGCCACCACCTCCTCCCCCCCCCCCCCTCCCCCTTCTAGAAAATATGACAGGACATACTGCACATTACAATCACAAGAACCTAAGTTTCAATAAAAGTCAGCCTCAAATGCCTTTTTTTCTTTCTTAGTTTGGTATTTTCACCATACATAGATAAATTGTCAAATATATATATATATATATATATATATTTTGTACAAATAAGTAAAATACATTGCACTTCAATATATGGATGATGTACACATGGTTTATGAGTTTGTCTAATTGGTAGCATTGGATCAATTAGCAGCAGAGAGACATATATCAAGTTTGGCATGATATTGCAAGCGTCTTTCAGGGATTCCTCTCTCAATCAAATCTCTGCTAGGAATGATTCAAACCACTGGGGACCATCATGGAGCGTAGAAACTTTCTTTCCAGTTATCAAAATCAAAATCAATTTTCAATAACTTCAAATCAAGATACACCAAGAGAGTCCTGCAGTGGTCAGAATGTGCCTGTCACATCAGCATACAAGACTGGAGGAGTAACTGAAGAAGACGGTTCCAGTCAATCGCGAAGACGACGTGTGCTGATATCCTTAGTGTCTTCTGAGAGGACCACTGGCTTCAGCATGTTGGTGAGACCGTTACTTTCTTCCAGTTTTTGAAGTCACAAGCTTAGCGCATCTTGCACTTGTTCTACACCAGATAGTTGTAATGAGCATTCTGCAACGTTGTGCTGTCAAGAGCATGTCTATAGGAATGGTTTCCAAATATTGTCTGGCAGCAGTTGGTCGTGAGTGACAAAGAGGTCGATTACAACTCTGACTAGCTATTATTGACTATGGTCAGTGAAGACATGGAATCATACATAGCAACAGTTGCAGTTTCTTGACTAACTTCAATCAACTTGTCGAAATAGAGTCGCATTCAGCATCAGCTACGATGACTAACCTCAGCTGACTATGGTCAGTGTTGACATAGAGTCACAAGTAGCAATGCTTACAAACTCTGATTTCAGTCAGCAATGGTCAGTGTTGGAATGTAGCCATATCATGCATCGGACATCCTCTAACTTTAGTGGACTATGGTCAGTGTTGATATGGAATCGCGGTAGCATGAGCTGAACTCTGACTAGCTTGAGCCAACTACAGGCAGTGTTGAAATGGATGCCCATGTAGCACGTCATTCGCTGACTATGGTCAGTGTTGAAATGGAGTCACATGGTACATGTAGCATCTATTACACACTCTGACTGGCTTTGTCTGTCCGTAGCGGGGTAGGGGTACAGAGTTGGCCGAACATCTAGCACAGAATATCTGAAGCAGACAGAAACAAAAGAACAAAATAAAATAATTAAACATCTCCCATAGAGTGAGAGCATTGTGATGTCTTGCTCTAAAAAAGAAGGAAAAAAACAAGGCTCTCTAGAGAGAAAATATTCAGGAAATATTTATCCATCATCGATTATTTAAGGATGAAATTTTTTTTTTAAATTAAAAACATGATATAATTTTCATTGTAAAAGTAACTACAAAGCATATTTGACCTACAGAGCTGGAAATTTCTCATGTGCTTTACACTATATAATATAAAAAATGTATAATACTTCAAAGAAATGCGGTGACAGAGCTTGTGATGATAGTGATTGGAGGTGGTGTTAGTAATAGTAGAGGGCTAGAGGAAGTGATGAAGGTGGTGGTTTCACTGGCTGTGATTATGATGTCGGTGAAGGCCACTGTTGTGATAGTAGTATAGGAGGTAGTGGTGGAGGCTATGATGATCTTGGCGGTGGTGGCGGTGGTGGTGGTGGTGGTGGTGGTGGTGGTAGTGGTAATGGTGGTAATGGTAGTAGTAATAGTATAAATGCTACTGTTGTGATAGTAGTATAGGAGGTAGTGGTGGAGGCTATGATGCTCTTGGTGGTGGTGGTGGTAGTAGTGGTACAAGTGATAGTTGCATTGGTGATGGTGATAATGTTATTAGCAGTTGTGGAGACTGAGGCGATTAATAAGGTGGTAGGGGTTTGAGATCAAGCATGCAAACACAATCCTTACCTGGCCACAATTCCTGCAGTGATGTTTCCTACGAAGCACGGTGAAGGAGGATCTGCAGGCCAGGCATTCATCACTGGTCTCATCAGGCATCCATAGAGGTGGGTCTGACCAGGAAAGTAAAGAACCCTTAGTAAGATACATCTAGACCAGACCCAGGACTGGTCAACTGACATCTTTAGAAGTGTAGGCATCGAATAATCCTAAGGCCTCATTGCATTTTGTTGTGACCGTAGCTGTGATACCCATCTCAAAATGACAAAGCTGATCCCCAATTACATTTAATATGACAAAATGATCTGGCACATGCATAATTACAAATGATATGAATTACTTGGCGATATTCATAGTATATATACTTATGATCATTATAAAATTGAAATGTTTACATGAATGAATGATTTTGCAGATGGTTAACGAAATGTAAAATTGATAAAAAACATGCAATTTAAGTCCTCAGGGAAACATTATCTCTCAACTCACCATCATAATTAGACCTCCTACTCCTGTGTGAAGAGTTACTCCTATGCCTGTGCCTCTCGCGTCCCTCTGATCCTGCGCCCTGTCTGCTGCCCTCTGCTGCCCTGCCTGATCGATGGCTTCCGCTGCTACTCCCACCTCTGTCCGGCCTCACAGATGCCACCGAGTTGCTTGCCGTGGAAGGGGGAGCAGCGCACTGTTCAGGGTCAGGGTTTGACGTCGAGGTTGACGGGGTCGGAGAGGTGAAGACAGAGTCGTCCGCAGCCATGGGGTTGCAGGAGGTCACCTCAAAGACGGTCTTGAGGATGCTGCGAAGATCACTGGCAAAGTTGGTCTGCAGCTGATCAGCAACACCTGCGGGTCAAAGAGGACACTTGACTTTAGGAATCTAATCTTCTGTAGGGTGAACCAGGAAACCTGTGCTTCATTTATAAATCCTACCCCAAAACATGCCTAAATTAGTTAAATTCAAGAAAAAATCTGATAAATTGCTGCCTGGCTCTTAGATATATTTTACAAGATTTGTACAGTACACTATAAAGTGAATAGCGATATTCTGAAACATTCTATTTCTCACTCAGATGTACTGCAGTGAATAACATTCAAGCATGATGCACAAGAAATAGAAAATGGCCGATACAATAAGGCCTGTTGTGCTTACTCTGTGCATTCTATATTCATTTCGAAAACATAACTTATTAACTTTGGAGCTACTGCTTGTAGGTTAAATCCTAACTCTTTGGTTTCACGCTTTGAACATTTCTTACCTGCAATGCAGACAAAGAGTCTATGGACAAGGTCACTTGAACTCCTGAACTGTGACCTGACCTTTTGCCTGGCAGCCAGCTCTGCGGCCTGAATGGCCATTTTGATCTCCTGCTCGTCATTGTTCTCAGATATCAGCGAGTTTGTGTCACTACTGTTAATGAAAGGAACAAATAAGGGACAAGTTATACAGACAGCTAGATATGAATTCATGTTACAAGTACAACAGTTCATTTCAGCTCCACCCTTTATACTTGACCCTTTCGCGACAATCATTCACATCATTCCGCAAGCAAAACCTTGAGGATACTACATGTGTACTTCATTCATTATTTTTGGTGGGTGGTGTAAGACACAAATCAATGAAAACAGTTATTGATAGCAGATAACTTGGGGAAAAAATGAATTAAATATTTGTCTACAGCATCAACGAGGGAAAAAATTCTGTTTAGGAGCACTACCCAAATTTCTTGGGGACCTAACTCCTTACAGTAAGGAATAGAGTGAATCCTTTCAGATAGCTGGATATGATCTCTTAGGGCAACAGGCAGTAAATGCAAATCGTGATAACCATGGAAATAAAAGATGTTGGAATTTACAATGTGTGCTAATAGTACTGGAGGTGTTTCACAAAGATCCAAAGCTGAACTTATCTCTAAGTTGATAACAATTATTGAAAGCCATTAGAATCTATGAAAATATGTTGTAAAAGTTATTTTAAAAGGCATAGAACGTTGATTCAAATCATTCATATTTTCTATTATCAAGGAGATTTTATGTTCTTGATGTGGAATTTATAAAAAGTCTAAAATACTTGAATTTTCATTTTTGAATATATTTTATTTAAAGGCTACAAATGGCTCTTCATAATTTTTAAGTTCAACTTAGGATCTTTGTGAAACACCCCCCTGTCCTGGTGAAGGATGATCCTGTTTTCTCACCTGTCATCTGATTCCCATTTGTAATCCGTATCCCTGTCTCCGTCATCAAACCCATGTCCAGAGGAACAACACGATGAACAGCATGAGGAGGAGGAGGAAGGTGAAGAGGACAGATCACTGGACTCCTCTCCATCAGATCCAGACATCACCTGAGGGCGGACTATCCCCCTGCTGCCCGTCACGCGGTTCAGTGCGCTTGGTAGGGTATCTCCTGAATGAGAGTGGGGCGTCTGGGGATGCGACCCTCCGAAGAGTGGCAGTCTGAAGGACGGCTCACTACGAGAAGGTCTGACCGTGACGTGCGTCTGGATGCTAGGGTCAGCGGTGGTCTGTGCTGAGGGGTCCACAGATATGCTCGAGTCGCTGTGACGACTCATGACTGCAGGCATCTGGGGTGTCGGTACCATTGGCTCACCAGGTATTCTTTGGGTGGAGTTGCCAACGGTGCCTGTGGTGTTGAGTTCAGTGCTGGGTTTACCCTTTCCAAACATGGGGAAGCTGGTGTTGAAGTCCATGGCTATCCTGGAAGAATTGCTTTGATGGGCACTTTTAAGGGGGTTGTTCTCTTTGGAGGTGAGAACGATGAGTTCGCTGTGCTGCATCTCGACGATGACCATGTTATTCTCATTGCTCTCACTGAGTTCTTCTTTGGAATTGGCAATTGATCCATGACTGGGACTAGCTGAAGGTGAAGCAATGTCACTCAAAGGGTATGATGTCTGAAGCTCTTGAAGGTACAACTCCATTAAATCTCCGTTGGGTGCTGAGCCCAGTCCACTGTCATTTCGCTTCAACACTCTCGGGTTGTTCTCAGAAAATCCTTCTCTCCTACTAGGAGAGAAAGAGGAATTGTCTGATGCAGCTCTTTCGCGGGGGGAAATTCCACAATTTCTTGAAGTTCTTTTCGTCAGTCTTGGAGACGAGTCGACGCTACGAGATGAAAGGCAGCCATCATGAAACTGCCCACTGTCCTCTAACCCAGCATCACTTGGCTGACTTGAATTCCTTCTCCGCTTGATGCACTTGCAAGTCTCGCCACCAGCAAAACCATCCAAAGAATCGGGGCTCATCTTGGGTGACATCACTCCCAGTGAATTTCGCGAACACTTTCTGATGCGGACAGCCCGGAACTCTCCCGAGCTCTCCGTATTCACTGCACCTGGAATGTCTATGGCGTCATCCACCGAACAACGATGGCTGGAATCGCTGGCTTTCCTTCGCACGCTCATCATCCTACTGTCCTCTGGTGTAAGAGAAAGCATGCTACTACACATAGTATCACAGTCCGTCACACAGCTACTACAAGGTGATAGTCTACAAGCCGCCTCGTCATGGTAATGACCATCTCTACTCTGCGAGTGTCGGTCACGGAATGAAAGCTGGTCCAGTTCTCGCTCGATGTCTTCCCATGATTCCTTGGAGCTACACAGCGCCCTCTCCAGGAGGTGGAGCTCCTCCTCTGAGAGCGTCTGCAGCAGCTCACTGTATGCCACAATCAAAAAGAAAAGTAGCTCTTTAATCTTTCTTTGGTCATTAAAATCAGACAAACAATATGATACTAGGTTAAACATCACATCAAAGGTTATTTCTCCCCTTCTATCCAAGCATTCTATTCTATCATTCATATGTCTATTGGGTATAATCTTAATGTTCAAATAACTTGCATTTTCCACTAATCATTTTGAGCTTAGTGTCCAAATCTCTCAGAGCAACCCAGAAAAGGGCTTCACCTAGGATGTTTTATTAGCAGTGAGACTGGGGACATATTTTTTGTTCCTTTAGTTATTTTACGCCACGCTCTTGGAAGCATAACATGTTCCTTCAACAGAAAGCCTCCTGGTTCAGCCCTGTGTTCATACTCACATGACAGCGTCCTTCTTACAGGCTACGCCACTAACAGTGCTCTCACTGTGCAAGTGTGAATAAAGTCAAACAATGATGAACGTGAACATACCTGATTTTGATGAGGAGATTCTGGAAGGGTCTAAAAAGTTCAGAGATCTGTGAGGCAGGCTTGGCCATGTTGAGGGGACCATCGGAAAATGTCACCAACCCACTGTGTTACAAAAAACAAAAAAACATTACATTACAATCTTTAATCAAATAAGTTTCCCAAATTTCACAACACTTTCGAAAGAGTACTTTAAAAAAAATAAACGACTCACTGAACTAGGGAATTCATCCAATTCTTAGAGGTAATATTTTTAATTTTAATTAACGGATTAATTCAATGTGTATTGTATTCAACCCATCGGAAGAATGGATGAGATCTGCCTCCTACTCTATTAAAATCAATTTTGGAAATCCGTTTTTGTTAGGCTACAATGTTTTCAAATTGGGCTCTATCATCTTTTTAATTTACCATATTGATACCATTCTATAAATTAAAAAAACAACAATATCATTAAACAAAAAGGGAGTGTATTTCCACTTATATCTCATATAACTTATTTAAATATTTTTAATTTAATAAAACTGTAAACATTTTGTGAATACAAAACACTGGATCTTTGGTGATATTCCATCAGATTAGTTTATTAGGGGCATCCTTGTTTGTGAATGAAAGTGTTTTTAAGGTAAGATGTTTACCTGACGATGGCGAGCCTTGGTATCGTGAACATCAATCCAGGATCGTAATCATCAATCTGATCTTGGGTAAATAAATTCCTATTCATAGCTCTGGAGAGACAGACGGAAAGAGAGAGAGAGAGAGAGAGAGGAAAGGAACATACAGAGAGAAAGTCAGGGTCGAGGAAAGAGAGAGAGAGAGAGAGGGAGACAGACAGACAGACAGATAGAGATACAGAAAGTGAGTAAAAGACAAGAAGGTAAACAGAGAGAGAGAGAGAGAGAGAGAATTTGATTAAAATCACAAAGCAATAACAGTACACAAACATATTGTGAAAATGACATATCTTGAAATACCAGATGCTTTCAACAGGCTACTATAAAGCTTGTCTACCTTCAATTCAATTTTACATGTACATGTACCAGAAGGTTAGCTGAAAACAGAAAGGTTAATGAATTCTAACGACATTATCCATCCTTAGTGCTTTTATTACTGAACATGAATAAACTTATTGACTGTAATAACATACACGGCTGAGATTATAAGTAGTGCTTTTATTGCGCTACAGATTGATCTACAGACGGAACAGGGACCGCATCAGTGATTTAGGGCATTACGAGGGAACAGATGAATGCATGCATGGATGAAGGCACTGCTGGCTCGTACACTTGCTCGGTCTGTCACGCTCAAATTACCTCCATCGCACAAAGAATCAGTCGGCTAATGTCTGGCTATGGCACATGAAACTACATAATTTCCACAAACTTCATGTAATTACTTCATGCATTTTATGAAGCATATCTTTCTAGGATGTACAGTGCTTTGTGCATTGCAGCAGCAGGACACATTTGTGTACCATATTCAAATTCTTTTTTTAAACAGTTTTTAAGGCAAAATTCTCTCATAGTTTTTTACATTTGCAAATAAAAATCAGGAACAGTAATGTTTTGTATTAAAAATTAAGTTTGGGCGGGAGTCAAAGAAAAGACCCCCCCCCTCCCCCCCCCCCCCCACCAAAAAAAAAATGCTGAATTTCCGATGGATTGACTAGAAGATTGCAATTCAGACCAATTCATGAATACTGCCATCCCCTTCCCTTAATCCCTACAATAACACTTTCACCTTTGACATAACATATTTCTTTTCCAATGATGTAAATATCAAAGTAGCAATAATGACTTAATTCTAATGTGAAGTCAAATGGTATAATGTTCACATGGGGCATGACGGATCAGTCCGTGAAAAATCTACAAATACATTGACAAAGATTGCTTTGAAATGTTAAAATAATTCAAACAGAATTCTAAATTCTCTGTAACAAGCGAGGTATTACTGTATACACTAGTCTCATACACGTATATCTGCATTCAGGATGGCTTACATGCGCTGCTTAACAACGAATACCCAGTACAGTTTTAGTGAGAAACTGAGAACTAGCAATATTTTGTAGAGCACTAGTAAAAGCACATGTCTGTGACCATCAAACAGAAAAGTAACGAGCACACATATGGTGAATTTTGAAGAGTAGTTCATTGTACAATCTGCTCTAATCATAGTAAGCGCTTCCTTTCAATAACAAAGTCGGGACAAAGTTAGCTCCATCAAGTGATGTCATATTTATCAGAAAAATATATATTCGATTGTCTGACTGAAGGCTCTAGATCGAGTTACTGCACCCATTGGCCTGTTTTCATTAGCTCAAGTTTGTCCAAAAAAAGGCTTGCAGATTTGGATCAGGGGAACTAATATTCCAATAGCAACTATATGTACAGCTGTAGCTCAAGTTCCTTCGCCGTGAAGACTCAAATCGCACAATATTGAACAACTGCACTTGGGATATGTGATTGAACATGTAGCTCAAGCTAAAGTTGTTTAATAGCCCACACAAACTCATGCTACTTCATAAATCTATTTGACCAGGTAGTATAAGGCAGCCAAATCTCAAGTATATATGCATTTAGACTGCACTCATACATGTAGTAGGCCTGTCCTCATCAGCTCCAGTTTGCCAAGCAACCCGCTATTTTCAGACTCTGGATATTATCCCAAAGCTCGGACAGGCCAAATTAGCCTACTATTTCCCAAATAGCGGGAAATTTTGGAAACAAGACCAATATTTCTCTGGATATTTTCTCGACCAAATATCCTGCTAATTGCAACTGCGGGCTGATGAAGATGCAAATTAGCTGGATAATTTGCAATCTGGATAGATAAAATAGCGGGTTATTTGGCAAACTCGAGCTGATGAAGACAGGCCTACTGTAGCTCAAGCCGATTAATTCCTCATGCAAGAGAGCAATTCTCCACTTGGACTATAAATGGAAATTTAAACTCTTCATTTTGTCAAGAATCTACGTCACGCTTGTTCAGGCTAATGGAGATTCACACCTGATGTGTTATTTTTCACTGGATTCTCTCCTAAGTACTTTATCAGATCTAACGGCATTGATACATGCATATATGGTTGGTTTGTGGTTTTTAGGTCTTTGTGAATTTGTCGTAAACACTTTTGATCAGGTAAACTATTGCATGTTGCTTCGACCGCGGATTCAACTAGAGGCAGAGCACTTTTGGCCTCATTTTATTATCGTTCCACTGCAATGGTGTAAAAATATCTGTTACAGTACACGTACACCGTCACCAACCAAAGGAAAACTACACATTAATGACAGCAAGACACAAACGTACATGTACAATTAGTCCAAATTATCGTGCAAGTGTATATATATATATATATATTTCAGAAAATAAGAAACATAACTTTGGTAAGATTAATGTAACTTGCAGAAATATATGCTCTTCCAATTTCCTCCTTTTGTTTGGTTTATAATGTATGTCTGCTTTTATTTCCCATTTTCCTGTAAAACTTTTTTTTTTTATTATGAAAACATTGCAGCTCTCTTTCGGACAGATAAATGGTTTGACCCAGTAATCCAAAGCAATATACATCCAAAGAATACAACAGTGAGTAAATAAATATCAGCACTTGTGAATGATGAAACATAACCAAATACAGATTTGAAGGGAGAAAACATCCCACTCACATTTTAAAGCAAATCCTCCCAATAAAAAAACGAACAAACAAATAAACTTTGAACACTCCTTGTTTTGGTCTTGTGTGAACCCTTGATATTATTAGTGAACAGTTGATTATTACTTCTAGGTTTTGCACTCTTAAAATTTTAAACTATGAAGGTGCCGTGTAAACACAGCTAGTGACAAGCCTTGACGACCATATTGTCAGGTGACAGTGGAAGGATGTCCAACAACTTTCAAAGCTGAGATGAGGATGATAAGGTCATTCATTAGTAGATTATCAGCCAGCCAGCCAGACAGACAAGCATGCTTAACCAATGCACTTGACTTGCTCTGAGTATGAGTCATATGGCAGGGCCACTGGCTATATATGCATCATTTCAATTTCCACATCACATCAACATTATGAATTATGCGGATTGTCTGGGGAAAAACTAACGTATCATAATCAATGGATGCCTAATACAGCCTAAAGACACAAACACAATTATGTATGTGTGGGACCAGATATTAAAACCTACAGCTTTTTTTTCCTTCTTTTCCTAGTGTATTTAAGAGTCTAATTTGCTTTTCCCACTTTCAACAAAAGTCTTAAAGGTATGGGAACCAAGTGTACACAGGTATTCTTTTATATCACTATGTGTATGTGCTGATATCAAAATAGCCTGTATAGCTCTACTCTATCAAATAAAATTCATACTGTCTACCGTATACAGTATTACACAGGGAATAATTTTCCTCAAATTTTTTTATTAGCAATTTCAGCCGATGGATGAATATTTAAAATGAAATTCTGTACATTTCTATGGAAGAAAACTGCTACACAAAAGATATTTTGTATAGCAGTCATGCAAAAATGCATAGCAAATTGCGATGCGATACCAGGAAAATTATTCCCTGTTACAGTATCAAACTTGCTGAATAAGCTGTCTTTTAATGTTTATCATTATGACTTAGATTTACTACAGTACAGTACCCTAGATGTACGAGGCACAACTTGTTGACTTCTTGTTCTAGTGACCTCCAACCTAAAAGGTCAATACTTGAGAACCCTTCATGATATAAAGCAACAGGTGCAATCTTGATGTGTTGGAATTCAAACTGTCTGCCTAGAGGTATGTGCAAAAAATAACCATGGAGATTCACAATTTGCTCCAGTTTGCTTCACCTTTATTTCATCAAAACTACGGGGGGGGGGGGGGGGGGGGGGGGGGGGGGTTATTGATAAGGGTACAAATTGCAAGTGGCTTGCAGGTTTAGGTTTAGAGTTAGGGTCATGTTCAGGGTTATACGAACAGTGTTTGGTCTCGGTTGAAGTAAGGATCTGGCTAGTCTAGGAAATTACCATGGATCTGGAACCAATAACTCATGTTACTGGTTCCAGATCTCATTAGCAAGACAGTAATCTATATTTGCCACTCCGTACCCGGGAGAAAAGGGATTACGGATTGTGGAAAGCTAGTTGATATTTGCCTATACACATTGCACATTGCTTGTAAGTGAACGGTGCACACCTGGTACATGATGGTGCACAAAATGTGTGCCGATATGCACCGTCTGTGAATCAATACTTTTATAATTACTGTCCATAAGGTCTTGTAAGAATTGTTGGAAAGATAGGCTAATTTGAATTTCTCTCCATGTATAGTAACAAATGTTGGGAAACTGATCCTCTTTTCTTCTTCAATAATGTTCTGATAATTATGATAAGTAGGCCTATCAAGTTGGATTTGGTCCAAACATATCTATTTTCAGTAACATTGAACGTTTATCTAGTAATATTTTGGCAGAATGCCTAGCGACAGATCCATCGCCCAGCTATCATAACTTCCATCTCCAGGGTGTCTTATGTGAGCACCTTTCTAGCCATTTAGGGGTCATTGACCTGCCGTCTATTTTGGGCTGAGAGGAACCGAGAGCAAGGTTATCCATACTAGGTAGGCCCAGGAGCATCAAATCAGTCCTAAAGCTTAATGGTATTAAATCTCTGTGTTATGGTATTAAACAGAGCTGAACTTTACAATTATATTCTGGATATTAAACATGTACATGTACATGGATCCCCCAGTCATTGGATTCATAACCTGCCCATACACACAGTGTGCACATTCTCCACTCCCTGTGGAGCTTTACATGTGTGCTCAACATGGCTAATCAGGCCAACAAAATGTAAACAAAGATGCAACAACTTTTAATAAAGCATATACAGTGTATATGCACTGAAAACCACCAACACAAATATGATAATATGGGACTAAAATCATTCTTCTAACTGCACATCACTTTTTGCATCACTTACTTTTGTACTTTATTCTTCATTTATACATGACAGTCACAGTAGTTTGTGTATATTTCAAGTGTCAGATTGTGGGATTCTGTAAGGTTTTTAATATTTCATCACTAAAAAGACTCTTTTACCTCTAATGACTCTAATGAGGACACTAGGAAATGACTACTCTGGCTATCTTCCTAACCGTGGGTTAGCTGACCCTGCTGTGGCTCCAGGGTGGTTGAAAACACAAATTAATTGGGTTCCCTCATGGTCTGTGGCCCTCATTATCACATGGCTAGAGGTACATGTAGGTCATGTGATCTGTCACATGGCTGTCTCTTATCACAGTCAGATATTTCCCTTTTTTTTTAAATATACTTACAGAATAATCTACAATAGAATGGCAAAAAGTTGAAGAGACAGAACTGTGTAAAACATTTACAATAGTTGAAATTTCCTCTATTTCTTAATAATATTCATAAAATTCAGCTTTGCTTTGATTTTCTGAACAAGATGCTGTTTTCCGTCATACATGTACATGTGGTTCTATCATGTGTATGGTAACCACAAATTGTATTTTCTTTTCATGGAACTATCATCTATGGGTGTGCCATACAATCTCCACTTTCAACTGAAACATTTATCTTACATTTAACCCACTGACTGCTTTAATAGCCCAAGATAACTCAAGTCAATGAAAAATGTGTGCCATACCAACATGGCATTAGTTGACCTCAGGTAGAAGTTTCTTTAAATACCTCCTCAACAACTTGAATTCGTAACATGTTTCATATTTTTCCAATCCTAAGTTCATCAAAGGAAGTTTGGCATTGCTCATTTCCTTCTTACAAAGTGTATGACAAATAAACCGCATCGAAAACCAACCATCGATTCCTAGAAAAACCAATATTGTTAGCTTGCTCAACGATTGACCGAGAGTTAAATGAACTACAGGCCTCTGGTTATTTTTCATTCTGTGTGCAACCGATTCTATGAAAGCCTTGATTTTTGTTGTTTACAGATGAAAATGAAGAGGTGAAAACACTTCCAACAGTTCACTTTTAAAACGTGATGCTTTCCACATGGTGTACAGCTATAAAATCTTTTAATGAAAGATAGAACTCATCATCCAGATCGATTTGTTGCGTCATTTTATTGACAAGTTCTTGAACTTTGGAAAGGGATTAGGAAACATCTTGTGGTATTCCAGAATCCTGATCACCTCATCCCACTACAACAGTCATTAGTGACTAGATCCGATTTAAATCACTTTGCTACGTGTCATTTGACACAGCTTTCTATGTGCCAGATGTCACAATCATATACAATACAGTATTCGATGGGTTGTGTCATTACATTATTGAGCTTAGTCAGTATTACAGATAAAGCTTCAAACTTTTCAAATAGTCCTCAGCAAATATTCCTCTTTTTCAGAGCTTATGAATGATACATTAAGGTGGAAAAGCAAAGTGGTTATCCTTCAGGATTGATCAAATATTCATTGTCAACATGTAAATGTAAATGTCAAGGAGATAGCTACAATGTTGAAGTACACTCTTTTTTGCAAAATGTTGAAATGACAGTCAAGGGTATAATTTTCTGGTAAATGTTAAAGATGGGTTATATTTACCACATTTAAGCAAACCTGAGAAAAGGTATTCCTCTCATATATTACAAAAAGTTTCGGATGTAACATACCTTCCCATATTTCATCCTCTATCATTAACATTAATTATTTAATCAGATTGTTACACATATAGATTTTTTTTTAAATCTCCCCATTCCTTCTATCATCCACAGGACCAATCACAAAATTCATTATAATTTATATGCACCCACTTTAAAAAAACCTTTTTCCATTTTTCAATATAACTCAATTTGCATTTATTCATCAAAGCCATCATGTCAACTGTTTGTTTCAATTAAATACAATGCCAAGCAATCTGAGACAGTGTTTTTACACATTTGGCTGTGTTTCAGCAACTACCACAATATCTTGTCACTATCAATCTTACTGATAATTGATTAAATATAAAGGATGGGCGGAAACAGTCTCTGTAACTGATGCATCTATCATATCTTTATCAATATCTGATTAAAAACACAGCAGGTGACATCCTTCCTCAAATATATTTCATGGTAGACATTTTTTGGCTGAAAAGTTTGACGATACAAACAGGTATCATATCATAATATGCTTTAAAACGTCAAATTTGTTTAAATTTTCTTTTTCATCTTGTTGTCCATAACATTTTAGACTAATAGAAATGTCATGGCCCCCAAAATGTCAAATAATACCCATACTACCAAAAAAAACCAGTAAAAAGAACAAATATTGAATATGTATCTCTGCCAATTCCTTATCAGTGAGAGAGAGAAAAAAAATCTTGGCAGAAAAAGAAAGAAACACAACTCATGACCAGATTCTCACATTCTGTCTGGCTCTCACGGCGGCAAGCACGCAGACGAAGCATGAAGGCTGTTTACTCTCTCATTACGACATCACAGTTACTGATTAAGGTTCATATGTTTATGGGTTTGCAGGGAGAAGTATTGTGGGAAAGGAAAGGGTGTGTTGGTTTGGTATTAAGAAACGTGGCAGATTTTTGGATTTTGCAAGGTAGTTTCTAATTCAGTTAAATCCCTCTACTCCTCTATGGTAAATCAAGATATGGAAAATTGCAGACACGCAATGCAGCCTCACCATGCCTCTAACTTAAAATATGAATTATGAATCTCAATAACTATAAACTACATTACGAAAAGGAAGACAAACCTAACAATAAAGACAGTGAAAACAGGCAATATTGAAATTTGGCCATATTAAACAGGTTCAGCAACACACTTTTTCTCTTGGGGAGAATCATGAAAATGTCTAAGAAAGGCAGCCATTATAAATAGATTTTCACTATCCAAGGGGGGTGTTTCACAAAGATTCTAAGTTGAACTTCTCTCTAAGTTGGACTTAACAATTATGGAAAGCTGTTAGCATCATTGCAAATATTTTATAAACGTTATTTTAAAAGCCATAAAATATTAATTCAAATCATTCATATCGTCTATCATCAAGGAGATTTCACGTTCTTGATGTGGAATTTATGAAAAGTCTAAAAATACGTGAATTTTTGCTTTCTAATATATTTTATTTTAAGGCTACAAATGGCTCTCCATAATATTTAAGTCCAACTTAGAGTAAGTTCAACTTGGAATCTTTGTGAAACACCCCCCAGGTCTGATTGTAAACCTGTCTATATCAGCCACCTGTGTAAAGCAGTCAGAGGAGCTATCGATGGCAGGTGGTCTTACTACACAGGTTCAGCAACACAACATTTCCTCTAAGGGACAGTCATGAACAGTCTACAGATATGGCCACTATAAAGAGGTTACTGTACCATTACCCCTGGGCCCCTTTGCACAAAACTAACCATTGGTGGTAACTTTGCCATCAATGGTTACTACCATGGAAACCTTGATTTTGATTGGCTGTTGAGCCCTGTTACCATGGTAGTTGCCATTGATGGCAAAGTTACCATCAATGGTAAGTTTTATGCAGCAGGGCTCTGGTTTGACTGTACAGTGTATCCTTATCCCATCACCAAACTCTGCTTCTGTACAATGTTTGAAACAGTATTTTCATAATCTTTACATATAATAAATCTTGATGTTTACCTGTTGATGGTCTCGCAGAACAGAACGATGACGTCTTGCATGGTGTCGTATTCCTGCGAAGACTTCACAGGCACCATGGCACTCACGTAGCTCAGCTCAAACTCAGCAAAGACATGGTCAAACTTCTTCAAAGCCTCTTTCACCTGAACGACAAAGAGAAACCAATGAAATGACATGGTATCAGTACACCTATTAATGGTATTTCCACCAAGTCAGGTGTCAGCGAACTATGACCTACTGCACACAGAAAATGACTACCATCTTCCTTTAAAAGGATTTGGGCAGCATATTCCTGTCCGTTATTAAAGTTCATTTGCAACGTTTGCCCAGCTCTCATGGCTTATATTCCTCAAGGCAATCTGCCATGATGTAATTACACTAGACCTTTCTCTCATCAATGTGTTTGAAGATGGGATTGCTACAGACATCACATTGTGAGTAATAATCACTTCTATCATCATCATCTTCGATACTTATTATCGTTTTCATCAAAACCTCATCTACTTTGACTTCTTCATGTACATCAACATACCTTAAAGTTCCATAGAAATGCATTGTATTAAATATCCCTAAAGACAAACGCACCCATGAACTTATCATACTTTTGCAGGGCTAATTAACAAGTTAAAGTGTAGAGCAGCTTGCGTAATCTGAGTAATAATAGGAAGACTCATTAGTGATGTTTATGTGTAGATGTGTTACTATTCAAATCTTACTTTTTGTGGGTAAGAGTTGAGGTTCTTGTAGCTCTGGTCTCTGAGCACCGCCCGCAAGCAGTCCAGACTCCTGGTCAAGCAACGGGCCAGGGGCCGTAGGGCTGCACTCTCAATCTCCCTGTTCATGATGGTAGATCCTGCGGCCAAGCACTGTCAATACAAAGAAGTGTGTGCATTAAGATTGGGTTTAAAACCCCTTTCAGACTTCAATATTATGTGCGTTTTCAGCCGGACCACAATGACAAGTGTGATATAAAGTAAATGTGAAAACGTGAATTTTAATTCAATCTCATGGATGAGATGGTATTTAAATCTACCTTTTGTTTTAAATTATTTTTGGAACAGTCTTCTCTGCTTCTTGCAAGACTCTGGGACCCACAACATGGAACCCTATTAGTAATATTCACAACACTCAAAATGAGGTTTCCATCCAAATTAAAGATTCTTTAATATTCCAAATAGCACAAAGACTGTTCAAGCACAAGAAAACTGATTTTGATAGCTGCTGGTCTTTGTATACAGGTTCCTCTCAATTCCAATGGAAAACTGCTCTTCCAAAGAAACAGGTTTTTATACACAGGTAGTCACAAAAGCAAGAAAGCAGGACTGAATATATTTTTAACAAGGATTGTGGGATAACAGGGTGTTTTTTTTTTAGACTAAAGAGGATACATACTTCTGCACCAAACCAAAGCTGGCCTGCCAGACTGTCCTGAAGCACATCGTCAGGAAACTTAGCCCTGAAGTCACGGCTGGCTCTGCTCTCAGAGACGGCCTCAGTCATCAACTGTTCAATGATACCTGTTCATATGAATTAAAGATAAAAGAACACAGTTTATAAGAGAAATTCATTTGTGGTACAAATCCCTGAAGAGGTATTATGCCACTATTCAGTTTAAGACAAGGATGAGTCCTGGGATAGCTTAGAAACGAATTGTGAGCTTTTCCATTTTCTTTCTGTGTGTGGAAGAATGTCACGCAGAGGAAATGACCCATGCAAAGGACAGCTCTTAAAGTGCTCTCATATCACAAAAATGACAGGAAATTTGCTGTAAATGTTAAAAACTATGTTGTATTATATTATATATATTAGGACAAACTTTCATGCCACATGATTGGACAGTCGGATATGCACATTTCTGTGTAAAATGCATGTTACTATCAACAAGACTGTGCCAATTTCTTATCATTTCGATGATTCTTCAGCCTCCGGTATACATCTAATCTTATGTGCTACCCGTACCGGTATTCATGGTTAATCAATCTTTGCCTATCTCTTCCAGATGGTTCCTTTCAAAATGATATCACATGACTAGAACTCTATTTTATCTCTAACTAATCACAAAATACATTCATTATCAAAACCATTCCAAAGATACAAAGTTTTAATATCAACCAAATGTACTTGTTGAAGATATAAGAAGAAGTTTAGTCAATTTGAAAAAGCTTTTGCTTAAAGGAAAAGGAGGCCTAGCTAGGGTTGATGTAAAATTGTCATGCCTTTGTTTAAGGCAGATGCTAATAATTCTGTTTGTTCTCTAAAAGCATCACTGAAACTTATCAAACATACAGTCATTTCCTAATTTTCCTCACATTTTGTCTACATGTACAGTGAAGGGAATATTAGAATATTATCTTTGACATGCTCTTTATTTGGAGAGACAGATCTCTTTATTTTTACAACTGAAAGTGAAGGTCCATAAATAAACTACCGGTATCCATGTAAGTCTGTAAAACTATAGAAAGTGATTGTAATCTGAAAACTTTCATATTTTACTATGGCCACTCTGACAAGAAAAGATTGGAAGGAATTAATGGCACTTATATTTTCTTCCTGATAGTCTTAGAAAAGAAGTTTTTATTTTCTGATATTTCCTTCTTTTCTTTTTTGAGCAGTTTCAATCCTTTATCAGCACTAGCAGTCTGAACTAGATTCCGCCTCAACTTTGGAGGGGAAAAAAAATAGTCAAAAATTGAGCAATTTCCTATGGTTTTCAGAGAAAATTCCTTCATCAGATGAAACACTGATAAATACTATGCAATGTTATCTTCCTTATTTTCATATCATTTCTGCTGATATCATCAGCACAAACACTGACAAAATTTTCTTTCCTCTGACGCACGCTAGCGCGATAACGATCAAATTGTTATTAGCACATGCATGTGTGTATCACTAATCTTGGCTTTCTTCCATATTGCTCGGTCAGGTCTTAAACATTTACAAAATATGAGATAAACTTCAAATGTTCACATGGGTATGAAGAAAGAAGGAGAAAGAGAGGAGGGGTGTATTAAAAAAGCTTCTGGAAAGGATGTGTACTGGTTTTACATCTTTACATCTACGGTATTCCGTTTTATTTCTTTTTATAAATAACACACAGCACATCTTTCAAAATATATCTTGATCTTACGCAATTCAAATATTAGGTTGACATATTCCCAGGGATTTGTAATTAAAAGTCATTAAGTACCGGTAAGAACTTCCAAATCGAAACTTAATCTTAGAAAAAACAGGTCACTACCGCTCATCTTGGAGCCGAACCCTGGGCACAAGGCCCTCAAGTATCTACCGGTACCGGTAGTCTGAACCCTGAGAAGGCTATCAGAGATCCACGCGTCTGTTACCGGTGATAAGCAGCAGCGATGGACTCTTGATGATATCTCTGGATATCCAGAGGATATTAAGAGGAGGACCCCGTCCTTCCTGCGCACCATGCAGACAGGCAAACTCTTCCTCCAGAATTGACACCCGGACAACTCTTTATTTGTACAGGCATTTCCGATTCTCCTTCAAAGGCTGTTTGGTTATTGATCTTTGATTGATCTTGATTATCTAATCTTGACGTCATGATCTCTCCCCCCCCCCCCCCCCCCTTTTTCTGGATTCCTGAATTACTTGTCAGGGTTGATTACATTCTTTATGTAAGGTAAGAGGAGCTTTTCACAAAAGATGCTGTTTTTAGAAATAATCCCAAAGGACTCTCTTATACCCCTCAAAGAATAATCAGTCGACTATGAAACTTACTTGTAATCCCTACATCATATTGTCATTTCGCAAATGGAAATTCATTCGTTGATTTTCTATACCGGTACCGGTACACATACTTGTACAACACCTGATCGACTTTAGTGTTCTAGAATAGTATGTTGCGTGGATGAGTTAAATTTAAAAATACCGGGGGTAAATTCTCCCTAACAAGGGTATACGGTAAACAAGGATAATAATTAAGTCAAGACATAATTACGACCAACACGATAAGCCACTTCAGAGTTGGCACTTGTACAAATGATCCCAAAATATCTACAGATCTTTCACACATGGCGCCTATTTACACAGCCCATACACCATTTTGAAAGTTCATCAATTTTTATGACTGCCATTTAGACTACCATTAAGACTACTGGAAACTGGAAAAACCCATTAAAATCGTTGGTGTTTGGTCATTCTGATTTTTTGTTGAGTAGTGCGCATAAAGTGTAGTGATACGATTAAAGAGACAGTGTGCACTGGTCTCTACAGACTATCACGCCAAGTTGACTAACCATATCACAAATCCATGTGCATAACCCTAACTCTAACTTAATTATTTATAATTCATTATTATACCAAGCTTTGTACAGATGATTTTGATTTGTACAAATTCTTGTAGAATAAAATAATTAACTCTCAAACTTTTTCCTACATGCACCATTCTAGTCATTATTACTTATCGTTAATTTGGTAAATCCATCAATGCGCGAGTGAAGCTTCCTGCGTTTCTTGACCCCGTTTCCTGTAGTAGTCCAATTTTTTTCCACTTTCCATGCTCTGGCTTCGTGATCAAAGTTTACTCTCTCAGAAATCCCTGGGAATCTTTTTTTTACCCAACCCTTTCCATTAATCCAAAGAGAAAGAAAGCTTAGGCCCATTTACACCACTGGAAACACCTATTTTAAAGAAATGTTGGTGTTTGCTGATTGCATTTTTGTGTGTGCGAGCGCCGCTTGTCCCCGCTCCAGACATGATAGCACGAAAGTAATGAGAGTCGTGTGAGCAAAAACCGGAATATTTCAACAGTGTTTTGAAAGCAAGCTTTATACTGAGAAAAAAAAGACCGGCCAAGTTTCTGCCGACATTTAAATAAAAAAACGATAGAGAGATGGTTTTTTGGCATGTTTATGGATAGTTGCTGTGCAACTTTTAAACAAAACTCCAGAGTGTGATAAAAATGAGTGATGTTCGCTTGAAGTGTACATATTATTGCCCCCTAAAGTATCATCTACAGGAACATGGGTGTTTGGAGAGACAAAGGTGTTCGAGAGAGGAAGAAAGAAAGGAGAAAGGAACAAGATAGAAAGAGAGAGTGCATGGGCGAGAAAAACTAGAAAAAGAAGAAAGAGAATGGGAAAGAAGAAAGAGAATGGGAAAGAAGAAAGAGAATGGGAAAGAGAAAGAGGGAGAGAATGAGAAAATAAGTGAAAGAAAAAACAAATTTGAGGGAACAATAAAGGAAAAAAAGAGGGTGGGATAAATAGAAGTAAGTGAAAGTGGGAGGAGAGAAACTTTAAAACGAAAGTGAGAAAGAAAGAGAATAGGTAAGTATGTACAGAAACATTTTACATATTAATTTTAGTGCTGCAATTCATTCATTTCACAGCATGAAACTTTCACAAATCTGGATACAAACCAGTTTCTGGTTAAAACATCAGCATCCACAGAAGAGAAAAGATAGAAAGTGTCAAAGGAAGAGAGCAAAAGAAATGGAGAGAATGGGACAGAGAGCTCTAGGGTAGACGGAAAGTGAGTGGCTTCAAATGACTTCCTTTTCATATCGCTGGATTGTTTGGTCTAGCACCAGATGTGCATCCATAGGAAAATCATTTAGTCATATCAGGCATAAATTCTTAAGTCTGAAAAAACAAACATGAGAAGGTGTGGAAATAAGGTTCAAGTGAGTTCATCCTGATTTCAAATAACCCTCGTTTTCTGAGAAAATAAAGGTACTGGTACTCCAGATCCAGCATGGCTCTCACATGTTGGGCACAATTCAGCTTTTGGACAAGTGATGGCCTAAATAGATAAATCACCTCTGTAAACTTTCTCTGTGTTCCTTTGAACACAATGGGGATTAAGCCTAGTGGGGATAGATTTTACAGTATACACGTATGCTGCCCACACGTATACATGCAAGCATGGACTATGTAACTATTCCAAACTGTTTGATTTAGCTTTTCCTCCTCCAAGAAAGTTTGAAAACCATTAAACTTTGAATTTCATTCATCATATGACTATTCAGATCATCGATTTGTAAGATCCTAGAAGTTTGAATGTTTTTATCATATATTGCAACTTGCAAGTTCTTCCAATATCAGATCGGATTCAGATCATGAAGAGTGAGGTGGGCTTACATACATGTACAGTATGTACAACATATTCAAATGTACATTTCTGTAAACAATATGTTCATTTCTTCTTGCGAAAATATGCAAGACAGATGCAATTTACATTGTACATGTAGGCTACAACATATAATGTACAAGAGCATACTCCACCCACACACAAGTATGATGGAGGCCAACATACCGGTAATCAATTTCACTGTAACAGACTGTACAGACAACCATACAGGATCCATTTGTACCGAAATAAAATCATCCTTCCCCCACCTTGCGAAAATACGTAATGAGCAGTGGTTATTAGGGTTTATAAATCTCTTTTTCTGGGAATCGGTAGAGCACTCCTGTACAGAAGGCGTGGGCGGGTGTGAGGACAGACAGCTACTCTGATCATCCGCAGTCTCGTTTGTCTGCCCACTCTCATCTATTACTACACTGTACCTTCTCAAAGAGCGGTTCTTTTTATACACCGCAGTTTATGAGCTGAATGTACAGTAGTGAGTCTGCTTTTAGCTTGAAGCAAGCGCAGGCAGCCAGTACACACACAAACTCTAAGTTGTAAGGTTTCACCGCCCAATCTTGATAGTAATTCTGTCTAGCGTCTGTGACTACAATAGTTACTGTGGCTCGTGTTTGAATGTTTTGAATACAGAATACCTGCAGTGTACACGTAATCAGGGTTTAAACCTGGCCTAAAGGTAATCAATCACCTTTCAAGAATTTGGGTCATTATCTTAAATAACATTTTTAAATGAAATGAAATGAAATTGAATCAAAATAAATTAAATAAAGTCTAATTTAAAAAAATTAATTAAACAAAAATATTTTTAAACAAAATAAATAAAAATCAAATTTAAATACAGGACACCATTACCTTTATTTCATAGCTGTGTATTAATCGTTTTTACTTATTATTTATTTATTTTTTGTTGGGGTGCATTATGGCAACTGTATAACAAGATAAATGACATATGGTATGGTACATGTACTACCTACTTATAATATTTCTTCTACAGCCTACAGGGACACTCCATACTGTAGGATCCCTAATAAGTCAAGATGTAATTCCAAGGAAATAAACTTAGGTGCTTAATTAGATACTGACCGAGAACTTTATCCTGGCATATCCTGAGCTGATTGACGAGCACGGTGCATCGGTCCGGATCCTGCCGCCCATCAAAGCTGTCTAGCTCATGAGATACACCGTTCAGTTCTTCATCAGCGAAGTAAAACTGGGCTAGTAGCTGACAGTCATTTTTCTGTAAAACATGAAAGGAAAAATATTATATACTAAATGTAGGACAAAATAATGAGAAAATATGCATGTAGGATTGTATGTACATGTACATGTATGCTATTAAAAGGTGGAGGAATACGTACATTAAAAAAGGATTGTGCACAAAATGCTGTACTTTTCTCTTTAGGTGATCTCTTTTGGGATTTCACGTTGTCAAAGGGAGATTTTCTCACAGCCATTTTGATGTACATGTACATGTATTTTATTGTGTTTTTACAAGAGCTCTAAATACAAGAGCTCTTTTGTAGCTTTCAAGAGCCGAAGCGTCATGTATATTTCACACTTAAAAAGAAGTACATGTACATGAACAATATTATTATTGTTATTGTAACGTCCTTCACCATTACAACCACTTCAATCAAATGTTCGTTTTATTTATGGGAACATACAGTGTATAATCTACAAGCTGAGCTTTTTAATAGGTTCCTCACATTTCACCCTGTATAACCTTCTATTCAATACAATTAATTTCAACGTCTTTTCAAAGAATTAATCATATAATGTGACACATTTAGTATATTTCATATTTATATGGTCTAATTTTGTTTTCAAAAATTGTGAAATGTGAAACAAATAAACTTGAAACTTGAAACATTCATGTGAGGGCACTTAAAAGAAAAATTGAGGTCCTCTCTTTATAAAAACTGAAGAAACACAATTTAGCTTCAAACTTTCTATTTCATTTCAGCAATTAAGGTTTGAGGCTACATTCATGTACATTTCAAACACTTTCCCTTTCTCTTCAAAATATCATACAGTCCTGAGAAACATGTACTTTAGTATTTTGCCAAATACAGACCACATGAATGTAGGCCTGTATGTATTGAACATGTTAATCAGTCTGATGTTATTTTATCTATTCTGTCTCCCTCTCTCTCTCCCTCTCTCTTTCTCTCTCTTTATCTCTCTCTACATGTACATGTACATCTACACAATTTTTATCATCATCATCCAATTTCCATCCAACAACAAACAGATAAGTCATATATCATGATTTTTACAAAGTGACCACATAAATGTAGGCCTGTATGTATTGAACATGTTAATCAGTCTGATGTTATGTTATCTATTCTGTCTCCCTCTCTCTCTCTCCCTCTCTCTGTCTCCCTCTCTTTGTCTCTCTACATCTACACAATTTTTATCATCATCATCCAATTTCCATCCAACAACAAACAGATAAGTCGTATGTCATGATTTTTACAAAGTGACTTTCACTCGTAACAAAGTTCAAGTTCACCGTCAAACAGATGATGTCTAGTTGATTACAGTGTACATGTACAATAAGATGGAAATTTCCCTTTGTTGTAAGTGTGTGTACTATTAAGTTGATCAAAGTCCAGCATGACCTCAGCCTCAGTCAGGGCAGTTGTAAAATAGCCCCCCCCCCCTTGTCTTCGCTAGACCTTTCTCTATCAAATATTCAGATGCCATTCATAATTTACAAGTTCACTCTAGTCTGCAAAGTACAAACCTGTACTCTTATTATGAGGTACGTATGCTGTGCAGAATACTACTGTAACAGAAACAATTGAAACAGGGAACTGAGAAAGTCAAGCCCATCCTTTACATGGGTCACATAAAAGTTAAAATAACTGCATTTACTATCAACATTCTATATTTGTCTATTAAACATTCAGTGAACAATGTAGCCTACACAGAAATATCACGTGCATATGGTAGAATGTGATAAAAGGAATCACACACACACAGTATATTTTTGCAGCAGAATTTTCTTTTCATCAATTTATGTATTTATTGTTTTAAAATTATATGCATTATAGTGATTATGAATCCTCTTTTTGCCCTTGTGCTTAGAAAGAGACTTTGTATCCGAGGCAATATTTACAAAAGTCAATACCGGTAATGAACAAAGTTCTGACAATAAATTACAGACCTTCATGCACATGTACGATTCATGGCAGAAGCGAAATATATTTAATGACCTTCAAAGAGTACAAAGTTTTAATCATAAAGTATCATTGTACTGATAGCTGACAAGTGGTCACCATGCTGTCATATGCATGATATGTTGTACATGTACATACTATGTACTGCCAGAATCCAGATCAATTTATAATCAAATTAGTTCACAGATATTATCTTGTTATTTCTCTGTCAAGTAGAGTCCACACAGATTAGTAAATTAATTAGCAAGGTGACAGACTTCAAACATTTACTCATGCCATCGTAAACACGTATCATATCCACTTTCAATTGAGTCACAAAATAGTTAGTCAACACACTGTTGCTACAATTAGTACGGTAATCTACTAAAACATACAGAAGTTGGGTTTTTTAAAAAGGCGTGGAGAAGCAAATTTAATTAATCTAACAGATTTGGATGGAATATTGCAATTCCAAGACAAAAAAGGCTCTAAATCATACATCTGCAAGAACTCGGACTCTTCATTGTATTTTAATTTTTCTGGTTGTAAATAATGAAAATAAAATCTAACTGAATCAAGCAAAAGATTGAAAAGAATATATAAGAATGACTGTTCAACAGGTAAGTGAAATCTACCCAATATTTATGGTTGTAGTAGAAAAGGTATTACATGTACTGTATATGGCTACATGCTAAATAATACCCAAAGAAAGACTATGAAATCTACATGTACATATCTTCAAGTATGTAAAACTGGTGTGTTAGATTTAATGTGAGTAAATACTTTCCATCAAATTCCACCAGTTTATAATTAATTTAGCTGACCCAAACGACATCATAAACAATTTAGAATTCAATTTTATCTCTAAATGAAATTTCATTACCGGAGTTCAACATAAGCTCTAACACCATGAAGCCAGTCTAACCGAGCCTCCGGGGGCAACGGACCATGTAATTACAAAGCCAGGTAGCGGTGGGCTTTATGCATTCATAATGGAGGATAAGCATTCATGTAGGTGAGGAAAATAACCAAGCATTGCAGATATTAAATGAATACATGTACACGGTAGCTAGTAGATGCTCTACCCAATACGCTGTGCCCATACTTGTCCCTTCCATGCAAGTGTATGCATGCGTACACTGACTGTACATAGCACCTTTTTGTTTAGCCCACACAATATCAGGGCTCTTAGGCTCTAGCTCGACATTAAAAGAACTGTGGACAAGTTGTCTTAAATTCCCCATATTTAGTATTTCCCTTCAAATTATAACATGACTCCTTCATCCCCTTGATTTTGGAAATGAATTGACCACCTCTGCCCTGCCCCCCCCCCCCCACCCAACAAAACAAATCAGATCCCCAATGTATGGTATGCTGTAGGAGCTGATGTACACGTATGTCTGCAATCTGCAAGTCTACAAGTGCATGACTTGAACATTCTGAAAATCTTTCAATATTGATAGTTTATATTCAATTTACAAACAAATCAACACATGTAAGCATTAGTTGATGGTCTTAAGAATAAGATTCAAAACATGGCAACAAAGTAGCAATATGACCGCAAGATCGCACATTGTATCTTCACAGCCTTGATGCGATGATTCAAACTAAATTCTAAACGTCTTGGCAAAGTTTCGCTAGTGCCAACTGATAATGGGGGACCGACCGGGACTCTACGGAAACATTGTTCCTGTGACTCATGGAATACTGCTGATACAGTAAAAAACTATCTCCCTTTCCTTGAACCCCAGCCTTGCCATTCAAGGAACCAAGAACTCTGATTTTTTTTCCTACGATCATTGAGAGTTTTATCCATTAGGTCATCTCCTGGGATTGAAGCCAAGGCTACCAATATATTACAAGTTCATGGTTCAAAAGCGCTGTCAGCTACATGATAGTTCATGTGCTCAATGCATGCCTTTTACTCAAGTTTTCAGCAAATTAGTTTACCTCTTATACATGTTGGTACTAGATGTTCAATTGTATGTATTTATAATTTGTGTACAAAGAAATTCACAATGACCAAAACTGTGAAAATAACATACCACTAGAAACTTCAGTACTTTTTAAATAAAAACTAAAAGCACATCTTTTCATTTAACTTTATGTTGTAGATTTAAACTCATCAGGAGCTTATGCATTAAAGTAGAATATATTGACACAGTGTCTGCGCTCTATCGTATTTAATATCAACACACAGTCTGGACCCTGGGGGTGTATTGATGCAAATTAATGATATTATAGTAGGTCCATGGCTATATCAAGGAGTTACATGTACCAGCGCAGTAACTTCTGCACGTACCGGTACATGTTACATACATGAAACAACTTTGAAATAGAGAAGCATGTACACATGTACAATTTGTACATGTACGGTATTGTATACTGTACATGTTGGTCTGTGAGTGAATATATGCAATGGTTGTTGTTGTTATTATTTTAGTGTTTTTTAACAGTACATGTAGGTTATTTGCCTTATTGACAGACTTTTTATGACAAAATGACCATATCAATTAAAAGGAAGAATTGATGGAGCAGAGATAATTTAATTGGCAAAGACTTGTCCTCAATGTCATAACAAGGAAGAATCATGCAACATTTGGCATGGAGAGTTGTTTTGATCAGTAAACTATAATTGAATAAACAAAATTACAAGATATTGTAAACAAGAATTAATATCAATAAATGTCAGGCCAGTCAAGAGTCCTAGTCAAGACTACAATCTGTGAATAAATACAGGAATGTATTGCAATTTGTTAATGAAATATTTAATAACAATCTGGAAGGAAATAGAAGTAATTTAATCCGGCTTTTACTCCACAGCCTAGCCCATGAAACAGGAAAAGGAAGCTACAATATAAGACCCCGTTCTCACTCACTTCGTTGGAGCGCTCTAACTAAGACCCGTTCCTCAGGAGCGGTTCTTAAGTGAGTGAGAACGGTCAAAGTGGTCCAGGAAGTGGACTTCTGGACCGCTCCAGAAGACCACCTTCCGAGGTGGTCTTGAGGAGCGGGTCTTATTAAGAGCGGTTTGGAGCGCTCTAACGTGCAATGTGAACGGAAAGCGTACTTTGAACAGAAGTGAGCTAGTGACCTTCGGTGCGAAACATGTAGTACGGTACATACGGTTTGTATTCCGCGCGCGAAAAAATTGATCTGCTGACCTGAGCTGCTATAGCAACAAGACCACTTTGACTCGTGGAGCGTTTTGAGCCATTAAAAACTGCTCGGAGTGTGTACGCTCGCAAACCGTTCCTCAAGACCCGTTCCTCTGGAGCGGTCTAACTAAGACCACTTTCAAAGTGAGTGAGAATGGGGTCTAAGTCTGCATGGATCTATGCCAACACTTTTGTACTAGCCACATGACCTCCCAAAAGAAAACTGCTATAGATAAGCTTTTGTCAACAAACGGGTAGGTACCTACAAGGAGTGGAATTTTACCAATACTGACATCATGCACAGAGCACATCCTACAGAATTGCATTTTTGCCATATTTGACAATTTAAGCCTTTAGGCTGCTGATATGTTTGTGTACATAATGTGCCTGTATTTGGTAATTGTCAATTGTGTAGGCCTAAATGATTGAGATTCTCACAATATAACAATTATCATATACACTTAAAACTAGACTCATACACTAGACTTTCTACAACTGTTATTAATACAAAGTATAAACATGTACATGTAGATGTACATGTATGACTATAAACATAAATTTAATTAATAGATTCAAATGATGACATATCAATCATCAACCGAGTCTGATACAGAATGCTTAACTTGTTACATGTAGATCTAATGAGTAACAATAGACTTTACTTTATCTAGATTTTTTAATATTTTGTTAAATTTTTTCATCCGAACCATCTGATCTTAGTTCTTACAATCTTTATCATTTAGCTCATGTTACAAGTGTACAGTACCTACAATGTATGTGTAGTGAGTGGTGTATTCAAGGTATTATTACTCTACTTTGTGACACTGATGAGAATCTACAAGTGTGCAAAGACCTGGCTTAGAAGTACATGTAAGAAGCAGCCTGGCCAGATTTTAAGCATGACTTAGTGAAGTTACGCATAAGCTAAACCTTTAAGAAACAGAATTTAAGATTGATCTCAAATCTATGCATTACTTTGGGACTTACGAATGACTTAACAAAGGACTTATTAAACTCTGGGCAGCTACTATTTTCATCCAACTTGCCATTCACTTACTTACTACTTTAATTTAATACACGATGTTATAGGTCTAAGCCTGTTCATCGATCCAGGATTCTTCCAGGGAACTGCGATTTGCACACTAAGCCACCCCCCCCCCTCCCCCAACAAAACAAACACCACAAAGATCCTAAGTTATGTAAGCTTATCCCTAAGTTAGGCTTAGATCTACATCTAGTACATGTATCTTAAGTTGGACTTAACAATTATGGAAAGCCGTTAGCATCTTCAGAAATATTTTGTAAAACTTATTTTAAAAGGCATAGACTCTAAAATGTTTTATAGACTATTCAAATCATTCATAATCATATTCATACAAGATCTATTTTCTATTATTTATATTAGAATCTAGAGTCTAGACCCCCTAGTCAATCAAGAAGATTTCATGTACTTGATGTGGAAATTACGAAAAGTCTAAAATTCTTGAATTTTTGCTTTTGAATATATTTTATTTGAAGGCTACAAATGGCTCTCAATAATGTTTAAAAACAAAAAAATTTGACTTTCAAGTTTCACTCAGTTTCAGTTTCAACGATGACGCTTTCCTCTTTCGACTTCAAGTTTATTTGGTGAAGCAAAAAAAATATCCCTAAAATAATTAGACTGGTTTTACTCTCTATGTACATGTATGACTGTGAGCTGTCTGGAATATATGGATAATCTTGTCCGTACATTACAATAAAGGGTCATGTTATTGTTTCCCCAGCTAGCTCAGCTCAGCTCATCTCAGCTCACTGCATCATGCACATGCATTGTCGTTCACTCACTTGAAATTAAATTTGATCTTGATTCAGTTTCACATCACAGACATTCATAATTAATTACCGGTACGTTAGTTCAAATCTTACCTTGGGTTTATAAAACCATTTTCGTAATGCTAGCATCCTGATTCATTCAACAGATATGAAAATAGATAAGTCGAGTAAAGCACTTTACTGCAAATTTGTGTCCCAATTTTGTCGTACAATTACAACCTCACTCGCTAGTGTTTGTATTCGTGAATGAAATGATATGGAAATTTACGGGTAAATCCAGTGTATACGTAGTACGTGTGCGTAATATACACGCACGTCACATATGTACACAAATTGAGTGTGTACTGGCGCGCCCTACATGTCACCGTCGGAAGGAATCTAGACAACTCCTCCCCCCAAAAAATCAACAGATAAAGGTTCAATAAAATTTCGCCACTCAGAGCTTCGTATTTATGATTTTTAAATTTCGAGGATTATGTTTTGAAAAGGATCATTTTAATTGACCATGATTTTTCTTCAGATGATACGAAGTCAAATTTCGAATATCATTACTAGTAGTATGCTTCATTAGCCGTTCGAAATGTTATCTAGAAAAGAACATCAGTCTATCGAAATGGGGCGAAATATTGTTGAAGGAGTTTTATAGTGTAGAGATGTATGAGCTCTGACTGCAGCTGCAGTGTACATGTGAAAGGTGTTTATTGTTTGTAAACAAATGTAATTGTTTTGGATCTTTCTGCGGACTGTAAAAAAGAAGGAAAACAAAGATACACACTATTCAACAGAAGATTCAACTTTGTTTAGATATATTGCAAATATGTTGAATATGCCAAAATGGTTATATACATTTATGGATTCATGCAGGCGGGGGGGGGGGTGGGGGGGGGGGGGGGGGGGGGGGGGGGGGCACAAGGTCCACCCCCCCCCCCCCCCAAAAAAAAAAAAAAGAGAGGATAAGCTGAACAGGAGATAGAAGAAAAAAGAGGAGCCACTATTTTTGTATTTTTTTGTGTGTTTGTGTATTTTGTTAAGATATGCAAGTTTATAATGTGCCTACGCCCCCACCCACCCCCCTCCCCCACCCCCTACCCGTCCCAACCCGGATCCGCTACTGGTAATATAGGCCCTACATTTTTTTTTTACAAGAATCACCAGTGACTTCACAAGCTTGTGATGTTTTATGATGACTTGCAAGAAACCCAATACGGTCATATATCTAAATGCGATGTGTAAATATTTACCTAGTAGTATAACCCGGCCGGCCCGCCTTGCTGATTATGATTGCTATATAAGACTGATATTATTGACATTAGACCACGATCGAGTTTGACCCTTAATTTTCTTCAGTATGCATGATGAAATCGATGTTGCAACTTGTGTGAGAAGTTACAATTAAGTATGGTGACTTGCTTTTTACAATAAGCACATGCGAACACGGAACGATAGTAAAGTAGCACAGACTGCCGTTAAAAAAAACACAAGAAAAAGAAACAAAAGATTTACTTAGGCCTACAGTAGGCCTCAAACCCCTCAAAAGCTAAATGTTAAACTAAAGTATCCTTATATTTTTGTAGGATGACATTGGATAAGCATACAAAAACGCAGTATGACCATGGCCCAACAATTATTTAGGAAAAAAAGAAAATAATTACTAGATAGAGGATCGGGAGAAGGAGGACGGAATCCAATGTAGACCATATAGGGGCCGGTGTTTAGTCTACTAAAACGTTGATTCGATCTTAAAAATCAATACCTTAAAATATTATTGATGCTATAGTGAGCTGTTTCATCAAATCAACTGCTTTTAGCTTCACGTAGTTTTTTTCTTCTTCTGAAGAGTGGGGGTGGGGGAGGAATTCTTTGCACATTTTCATAAGCCTTTTCAGTCTAAGATATTGCCAGCGGAGAGAGTAATGCACTACTGACACTTTGCCCATCGGTGTGCCCGGGCCGCGAAATTTTTATTCCCAAACAGGTTTGCAATTTCTTATATTTCCGTTCTTCTCAACGGCTGATATATATGTTCTACGTCACTAGCAGCTTGGAAAGAGGTCACAAACAATCAGACTTTGATTTTGTATTGCTTTGCCTCACTATTTATAAAGGCAAAAAACCTGATTAAACTGAGACTTGAACCCACAACTCTAAAATTGAATTACGCTGATCTTACTGATTGAGCCAACGATGGGTTAATGAAAGGTGATTCTGCATGATTTCTATAACCCTATCACTCACCCTAACGGTTACGTCATGACGTGCTAATGACGTAGCATATCAGCCAATCAGATGACCGGAAATATTAGCATTGGCAAACCTGTTTGGGGGGGGGGGGGGGTACTCAGATTTCGTTTGGACGTGGGTGCATGTGCCGCTCAAGCCTCGAAACCCCTATCCGTTATTAGGGGGCATTTTTCTCGAAAAAATACCCATTTTACAAAAAATTGAAAAAACGGACCCATTTTAAATGGTATTTTTGTTAAAAGTGGGACCCATGTTTAGGGATTTTTGTGTGAAAAAGTCACCCATTAGAGCGGCACACCCCCGTATGGCCTAATATGTAAATACCCGACCCCCCCCCCTGGGTCGGTGTGCCTGGTTTGCCTATTTACCCGGCATGGCAGATAAGGAGAGAGGAAATGAGGAAGAGTGAGAGAGGGAGAGAGAGGGTGGAGAGAGAGGGGGATCGAAGGGAGATAGAGAAAAGGAGGGAAGGAGAGAGAGAGAGAGAGAGAGAGGGTTGAAGGGGAGAAGAAGAAGAAGATAGGAAGAGGAAGAAGAAGAGGAAGAAGATGAAGAAGAAGAAGAAAAAAAAGACAAAAAGAAGAGAGAACGGAGAACGGAGAACGGAGAGGGGAAAGGGGAGAATTCGAGTTCAAGACGAAGTGGGGGCGAAAGAGAAGCATTGGTACCGGGACCGGTACAAACAGGAATCACACCTTATGTTTACCCATTCATGTATAGGGCCTATATTAAACGAATGGCTTCTAATCGATCATGACTTGAGAAACAAGTTTTATGTGATGAATTATGATTCAATAATACATCGATTTTTTTTCTTGGTAAACATACCTACTCTGCACTCAACATCACCTTATTTTCTATTAATTGCCTCAACCCCCCCCCTCTCTCTCTCTCTTCTCTCTCATAATACTAAAATTCATATGAAGAAGATCTAATACAATTTTTGAAAATGAAGGTTCGTCATTTTAAAACCAATTGAAATCACGAAGAGATATGTCCAAACATGATCCTAATTGAGAAGAGTAACAAAAGTCAAATATATATCAGGATTGTGGTCGGATGTACGTATTCTTGCCAACCAAAATATTGACAATGACGGATCCCAAGTTTGACCAAATTAACCAACTTAATTTGTCATTTAGATCAAAGATCCTGATTAGACACACTTCTATTAATAAGGACAGAATTAATATAATTAATTCTTAACATTGTACAATAACTCAGTTTTGGTTGTTAACGAATTCAGGAGCTAAACCAAAAATTACAATTTTCTTCTCTTTGCTCTAAACATTCTTTAGTCAATTACTAAAATCGGCTCAAATTTAAAGCTTTGATATTCAAGCTGATAATTCACCCCCCCCCCCCCAAATCCATCAAATTTAACTTTTGCAATTCACACCCTCTTGTCCACAGAATGAAGAAGGTAACAAAAATAACAGAGACTGCCACCCTTTATACTACATGTATTATACAATTGTTAGGGTGTTTTAAAAAGGGCATTTTCAATACCCAATGTATTTCCCATCAAAATCAAGTTTGGATAATATGTGAGATATCATTGTGATGGTTTTACTTTTCAAAAGGCGGTGATGCATTAGACCCTTCCAATTGCCAAAAGGTCGATTTTTAAGTCTTTGTGTTTTCTTTTGAATTACAGATTTAGAATAGTTGCACTATTTGCAATTTCATGCTTTATTAATACTCTATCATTTTTGTGATTAACTACTGCATTAAGGTTTCTTTTGGGAGAATTTAGGGTCTACCTATAAGGATAGAAGTGAAATCAATTTCCCTTTTCTTCCTTTTTAAGTGGCCTACGGTATATATATTGCATTAACATTTGTTAAAACCTTTCTCATTGCGCCATGTCATATCATATTTTGTACAGGATCTATTCTTCACAAGCTTTGCATTTCATCAAGTTTCGTCAGATTCCACTAAGGGCGTGTTTATGCTTAACTATACGTATACGTATACGTATGGTATTGGAGAATATGTAAAAATCAATTGCACATACAGATTAGAAATACATGTATACACAAACAAATCAACATCAGACACCATGTATAAAATATGTACACAAATCTTTATTTACAATGAGTTTGTTAGCTGGCAGAACTACAGCTAATAAGGCTGACATAAATAATTACAGCACTTTGAAAGCACATACATTTACATAATCACATGGATCATTATCACTTTCACTTTATCACTGGCATTCAATCATATATTTTTTTGGCCCAAGTTTCAGTTTTATCTAACTTTAATAGATTGTAACATAACATGTATATCGTTGTGCCGCTGGCAGATGGTCCGAGCGCATTGCGTCTTTCTGCAAAATGTGCAGGTGACTATTGCATTAAATAGAAGGCTGTTAGCATTAAGTGCCTGTAACTCCATAATTATGTGCTCGATAGTACCACAAAAAAAAACTTCTCAAATTAGTTAGTTACAATACATTCTGGTTTTTTCTTAGTCAATAACAAAGAAATTCCTGTCAAGTTAAACAAAATGGTACAATATATATAGAGCCATCAATATTTTAGAAGCAAATCAGAAATTTGCTTTATAACAAGAGTCAACAGACATGTGTGCTAACGACGTTCTGCTAGTTGCATGCAGATATTACATTGCAAAAATCTATTCTAATTTACTTCCAATGCACTCATTTAAAATTCAACTGATAATAAGTTATTGAGTTTTCTTTGTGACCAAATGGATCATTAGAGAAATGTAGGCCAATTTGAAGCATTTTACTATAGACAAGTTGCATTGTACATCATGCCACAAGATAAATGTCTTATCTACGATAGGTAATAAATTTAAGTATTGTAGTAATCATGCATGCAACTCTGATGACGAGAAAATACAAGTGACACTGAACAACTCTCCAAATTGCGTATAACTTTTAGGCGTGTAATGAGTTATAATAAGATGAACATTAGGAAAGATTCATGCATTTTTAAAAGCAGACAGTAAGAAATCTGGGGCAATGTTGTTTTCTAGAGCTACATCATGACATACATGTTTATGTATCAAAATATTGTATATTACCATCAAGTGCAAATTTTCAATCTTGCTATTGAACCAGTTTCATATTTCAAAATTAGGAGCAATACTGTATTTTCAACACTCAATATCATAACCATTGTACATGAATATGTTAGAATTACTACAAGATACAAGTATATGTAGGTAACATTTGATCACATTTCACAGGAAAGTTATAAAATATGACTTTCCATGAGTACATCACCGCATGTCAGCGAAGAATCCTCCATGTTCAACAGTGGAATGGCAGACATATCAACTCAATTTCTACCAAACAACTACACCAAATAAGTTAGATCTAAAAAGATACCTTATGACATGATGGATTTAATCACCTTTTTTTTAATTTGCTTGTGACATCAGTTAGATTTAGGGGCAGTGAAGATGGATTTAATGCCAGAGAAAATGTTTTCAACTGATCTTCTGAATATGCTCTTGCTATGATGTTGACAATGAAACCGTTGAAGCAAAACATTTTAGAAGAATTATTTAAGTTATAGAATTCATAAATATAGAATTTGATCAAAGAATAGGGGGGATGATAAAATTAATCATTAATTGATAGAAAATTGTGCCTTTATTCCATTGTAAAGGAATATATCAACCTAATATAGATTGTGCTTATATGTGATTTAAACATTGACAATATATAAAACAACAAAAAAGTTAGACAAAACTTCAATGCATGATATTCGATTGTACATATTAAAGACTGGGCATGAACATACTAACATACTTTGGGTCATCCTCATTGGTATACATTTGAACAATTTTCACAGAGAATATTTCTCCAAAAATGTCAATGAGCCAGCATTAAAACATAAATATTTTCTTTCAATTTATATTCAGACAACCTGCAATGTATCTAAAATAAAAAAATCATTGTAATAAATGTATCACATAACGTAGCAAAACCTCCCAAGTCATACAAGAAGATGAGTATTTTGCATTTGGTTATCAAGTTTAGGAATTGAATGGTTAGTTGGTTTCTAGAACTATACAGTGTAACCTCAGCTCGTCTCTAATGCATGGTGTGTAATTTGTTGTAATAAAAAATTACATCACCGTAAAGAGGTCTTCTTTTTGTATTAAGAAGTTCAAGCAACACAAACACATCAAAGTATTGATCGTCTATTCACTTGAGAAACACTCATTAGAACACCCCGCAAACTACCATATCATACAGGTATGTCGAGAAATAAAAAGGCTTGCTCATGACAACTCACAAAGTGCCCTTCCAAACTAACATTTCTGACAGGGGTCTGGATTGCAATATTTTGGTCTGTATGCATGAGCCCCCCTTAACATTTTCAGAATTTGGGGGTCTATCGAAATTCGGGACCATTTCGAATTCTGCGCGCTTCTAATATAAAAAAGATGCCCTTCTCGCTCTCAGGATACGGTACATCATGTATCAAGGTGGGCAAGACTGATGAAACAGTGATAGATGGAAATGACAACGTGGATGGAGGGATAGAAGAAAGAGAGAACAGGTAGAGAAGAAGAGTAGAGAATGGATCAACCCGATAGATCACTAGAATCAAATCTTTCTTGGTCATAGATCTCTCCTCGTACCATCCTGCCTCCGAACCATCTGCTGTTGAGCGAATCAGCTGCTTGCTCGGCTTCTGTGAGGCAGAAAAAGGAAATAAAACAAAAACCGATGAGATACAGTAAATTTGATGAAATCTTGGAGTTAAGAGGGTAACTAAAAGCCCCACCGTACTACTTATATCTACATGTGCCTTCTATATAGCAACAACGCCGTATTTTTTTAATTTTATTTTAATTGAGAGCTTATTTGATTACATAACAACCTGTCAGTGACCCATGCAGGGAGGTCTAAGTCCTCCTGGCCAAATTAGTGCGGTGGGGCTTTCAATAAGTTATTTAAAGCCCCACCGCACTAATTTGGAAAAAAGCCTCTCATGAAACAGTATACAAACAATGAATGGTTATGAGTTCAATGGTGCGAATATTTTCATGAGTTGAAAGATTAACATTCTATTCAACGAGGCGTCAGCCGAGTTGAATAGAATTAATGTTAATCTTTCAACGAATGAAAATATTCGCACCATTGAACGAATGAAAAACATTCATTATTTGTTTTATACAACATCGAAGAAGATCTAATAGAACGTTAATCAACAAATTATGCTTTACTCCTTATATTAAAGATAAATTCAAGTTGGATTCAAGCCTTCTCGATTACATTCAGATTGCCTTCGCGTCAGATACACGCAGGGATACGCGCGCGCACGGCAGAGAGGTACGCAGTCTGCATATAACCAAAAATGCACGGCGCATATAACCAAAAATGCACGACCGTGCAATATACCATCTATTGAATATCATGTGACCAACAATCCTCCAATCAAATGACAGGGATCCACGTAGGTGTTGTATAATAAACGATATCTAATGAGAACAAAATAAGATCAAGTTATTTGGATAGATTTCATGTCTGCAGGAGAAACCAAAATTGAAAACAAAAAGATTCCAATCATTACTTGGAAGTGTTCAAAATCAAATTAATATTATAAATATCTTGTGTTCCTACTAACCTTATTAGTTGATTTGGTGCTAATTTTATCCCCTTTTTCCCCTCCATGTTTTAAAATGGAACTAAGATTACGTATTTATAGTAAAGTAAGATAATATACCTCTTCTTTTCATTATTAGGACTACGTTTAGATTTGTGGCACATATATGAGCAGAGAATATAAGAAGGCAATCAAACTTATGGAGGAACAATAGGCTTTATTGATTTTTTATTTCTGTATAATTATGCCACTGGATATGAATTTCGAAGCAATATCAACATTGTATGTTGGAAACAACATGTGGTGACCAAACTGTTTAGATTTAAGCAGTTTTACTATACACAACAAACACCACACATCAAGTCGGTCAGATAATGCGTGGTCAATCTTTGTTTTGGTACAAGGGTCACTATTTTCTACATCGCTCGCTTTATCTTGTTCAAACACGACTAGGAAGTTTAGTCATGGTCACCGGGTAACACTAAAGGACACTGCGGAACTGATAGCACACAGGGGGATCTGACGCAATGTTTACAAACAAACTGAAACCTACATACATCATCAATGGAAGTGTATGTGTAGTATTATGATAACTTAGTAAGTGCATTCCACAGGGGCATGCATTCTCAAAGTGACCTTGTTCTTAAAGGAAAACAAACCAGGGCAGGTGAAGACATCTGATAAAGTAATGCCGTTTAAGTAGGACAGTTCAACAGAGCCAAGTCAAATATATCAACTCCAAAATTACTACAAACGATTTGTTCAAAAGTGAACCTTAGTTATGTTATGCAAATGTCCTTCAATCTTTGTAAAACCATTGATAACATGTTCATAATAATCTAACACATTTCCGAAGCAGGAAACAATGCAGTGATGAGGGGTGGGGTCGAGAAACAGAGAATGCAATAGGGGAGGGGGTGGAGGAGGCATGGGGCTGGAATATTTTTGAACTTGGAGATAGGGCACACCTGTTCCATCAGTGGGGCATGTTCGGGGCATGTCCACAGGATTATCCCCTCTTTTAGGTTTGTTGATACTCATACCACATGGTGTAAAACAGTCTATTCTTAGATGCTATCTAATCTTCCGCAGCCATTGGCAAACACTAGTAACTCACTGGTAAATATCACTGCTAACATGCAAATGTTTGCATAGGGAGTGTTATTGATTCAGTCCAAAGAACAAAGATAATAACTAACTGATTAAGTGAAGTCCATTCATAAACTTTAAACCTCCCTGTATATAATATTTTGGTTCAGTCAATGTTTCTATTTTGGGGTGAGAACCTCCAGAAGGGAGTTGAAGTCATTGACCTTTGTACCAGACAATCTATTACAATTGCTTACTAATTTAGGTTTGCAAGTTAATCGTATAATAAAGGCAATAAGCACCAAAGCTGCAGTTAATATCTTCTTTGTTTGTTTCTTTTTAATGTCAAACCCTTGTTTAGTTTTTGGAAGCCCTGCAATAGTTTTTCTTTGCATATTCCTTTCATTTCGATAGATTGCAAGACAATGATGATTTTAAGCTGCAGGGGAGATTTTCCCCCTTCACTTAAATATCATATTAATGAAAGTTGAAAACATGTTCAAACATCTGGGCCTTGTCTTACAAAGACTTACTATATCAATCGGAAGTCCTCTAATCAATCGCAAGTCTGCAGTCTCCTATCTCTTATGTACATAGTTGCGACTGATATTAACTCTTTGACAAAAAATCCAGAGTTTTCCTTCATGTTTAATACCAACTGTCGCGTCTTTGCAAAGCGGATTTCAAGTGAATATCTTCTTGTAATTTTCTGTGTCCTAAACAAATTGAGGTTATACCTGATTTTTCATGTTTTTTTAATGCTTACCATTACTTAAAATATGCTATGAAACATCCTTCAAATATTAGTATAAGCACAAAGCTCAGACAAAAAGCCATTTTGATATCAAAGATACACTCATCAGGTGTCCTAAGTAAAGCTAAGTCATCATAGCTGTGCAAAACCAGTATGTTGTGAAGGTGTCATGGTTCATTCAATTGGCTCTCAATCCAAGGGATGAGGTTTCAAATCCCAGCCCGGCACTAATGTCCTTTTGCAAGATATTAATCCAAATTTGCCACTTTCCACCCGGATGTTAAATAGTACCCAGTAGGATGTGAAAGTCATTGAAATTTGCTCAGTATTGTGAGCAGCTGTAAAATGGCACCTTACTGGAATGCTAACAAGGGAGTGGAGAATGTGTATAGATTGTGAACAGGCAAGCCTGGATCCGATGACCTTGGTAAAAATCTATCTGTAAAGCGTTTACAGACACGTAAATACCATTTTCCTTGTCTCCCTTTAGGGGTCTTTATCAGGAGTGATAGTAAGGACTAAAAAAAAAAAAGTTTTTGTTTTTTTTCACGACCCCCCCCCCCCCCCCCCCCCCCCCCGAGTAAAAAAAAATAAATAAACGATTTTGGGAAAAGAATGGCATCATACAGCATTCCCCCCCCCCCCCCTTTCGAGGGAGGAAATTGGGAAAAAATCAGGACAAATCAGGAAAATAGGGGTAAAATCAGGAAGAAAATAAATAAATAGGGTAATTATCAGGCCGTCTTCATAACAGGTTTCACTTTAAAACTAAAAAAAGAAACTAAGGTCACTATTCTTACCCGCTGGATCTGAGAATTCCACAAAGATTTTAACGATGACCTCTGCATCTTCCTCCTCTCCTTGCCTCTCCTGGTAGATGACCACCCTGTTGACCGTTCCAAATTTTCCACATTCTTCCGTCACCTCTCCTTCTAGTTCATCGTCCAGGTCCTCCACACCGACCATGTTGCGTAAAACCATCACATGTGACTGCAATTACAATACGTACAATGTTACTTAACTATAACTAAAGTGACTCAGTGACATAGCCTCAGATTCTGAAACAGAATCCTGGATTCAGCTTATGCTGCAATCATAATTATAAACCTTTAGGTCAGTCAGGAATTCTATGACTTTTTACAAGTTGTCTGATTACCAAGATATTTATGATTGGAAATCAAAATTTCATTTTTCGTTTTCCTAACGATTTTTATAACACTACAGTCTATTGGGGAAAATGAGTATGTCAAAACCGGTCACTGAAAGATTTTTACTTTTTTGAGGCACTTCATGATCATTTTGAAGTGCAAATTTTAGGGCTTCAATATCACACCATATCACAGACACTGGTAACACGTAGGGCCATGCATCTCAGATTTAACATTGTTAAACGATGCCTTTAACCGTTTTAGCTTAAAGTAATAATTAATACTAATTTTCTACAGGTCTTTCATAAATCCAGCCAAAGGGTGTAAGCAGATTGCTCAGACATAAAGCCATTTTCATATCAAAGATACACTCATAGGTGTCCTAAGTAAAGCTAAGTCATCATAGCACTGTACTCCATTACCAGGGGGGGGGGGGGGGGGGGGGGGAGGGGGGTTTCACAAAGATCATAAGTCGAACTTAAAGATAAAGCCCAGTTCTGGTAATGCGATTGCATTGTGAAAGAAAAGGTGTGGAATGGATCAGAAACAGTTGATCATGTAGCATGTAAGTATTGGTGTGCACTGCAAGGTTCTGGAGTCGTCAAAATCATAATAAATTTGGCCTAGTCTTGGTAAAGTAACAAGCACTGTACACAGAGAGCTATATATGGGACAACACACATGGTGTCGGGGCTAGTACTACCTTGATTTCCTTTGTCATTCTATGCTCATTACTCAGCCAGTATACATTTTCTTCCAAAATTGTTTGGCACATTTCATTTATTTGTAATCTTGAACATTCAGTGTAAGTTTCGTTTGATTCTGTGAGAATTAATTTTCTTTTTTTTACCACAACTGGAGTTTATCTTTAACTCTAATTTGTAGCCTTAAAATGAAATACATTCAAAAGCAAAAATTCAATTATTTTAAACTTTACATGAATTCCACATCAAGAACATAAAATCTCCTCGATAATAGAAAATATGAATGATTTAAATCAACATTTTATGCCTTTTAAAATAACTTTTACAAAATATTTTCAGAGATGCTAACAGCTTTCCATCATTGCCAAGTCCAAATTAGAGATAAGTTCAATTTAGGACCTTTTATATTCCCCTGAACTGCCTCTGTACAATCATCTGGGTGTATGAGAAATAATTCAGAGGAGTTAATAAATTTGAGACCTAAATTGCTACTTACATCTGATTTTCTGAGTAATTTCTGCATGACCATGTGCCTTGCGTTGCTGCCTGATATCGTCATGTTCTCCTGCTCGCTGATGGTCTGTGGAAGCTCCACGTCTTTGATCTCTGCCGGTTCCTCCTTGACTTGTTCAGCGATACCTGCTGCTGCGGCTGCTACAGCGGCCATCGCCGGAGCCATCAGGCCAGCCGTCAAGCCTGCCGTCATGCCAGGGGCGGTCGTGAGGACACCTGGAGCTGCTGTGGAGATAGGGAGCGTAGCAATTTGTGGTCTGACAGGTGTCACTCCTGAGAGGGAAATGCATATCACATGGATACAATATATTGATAGACTACGGAGACATGTTTTGGTAGCTGTCGTTTGAGTGCGCTAACCCTTTTGTGAAGAATAGCTTTATTTCTCCTTTTGTTTGCAACAGTGGCATAAGAAGATATAAAAGGGCAATAGACGTGTAGATGATTATCAAATCTAGAGCATTTCTAATGCTTGTTTTCTCTATTACTCTGCAAAAGAGGGTCCTCAAAGGGAATCAGTTATTCAAAAGTTAACCATAGTATTTACCTTCAATAAGTGAGCAAATACTTTAAGAATGTTCCCTCACTCACCTCCACAATCCACTAGCCTCCAAACTCTCTTTCTCCCTCAACTTATCCTTTTATACACCCCCATCTTTTGTCTTTTTCCTGCCTCCCTCTCCCTCCTGCTTGTTCCCTTGATCACTCACTCTTCCCCCTCCCTCTTTCTCTCTCTCTCATCTTTTAATCTCTTTCCTTTCCTATCCCTTGCTCAGCATATCAAGAGTTACCCAGGAGACCCTATGGTTCTTTTCACTGGATGATATTTAGAGGATTATTGTCATGCCACAGCGGAATCACAGAGATTATAAGACCCAACACACTGCTTTAACGGTGCCTAGCCATCAGCTGTTTAAGTCCCCCCTAGGATGCAGATTGCTCAGACTCAAAGCCATTTTCATATCAAAGATACACTCATCGGTGTCCTAAGTAAAGCTAAGTCATCATAGCACACCGTAAAGCATGAACAACCATACTATTAATGCAATTACTGCTCGAAGTAGGCTCTCATAACATAATTTTCACTCACTGGTGTTAAGCATAAGCTAGGGTTCAACAATGATTGACATTTATAGGGTCTGATTATTATCATATCATATTTCATTCATCTATTTATTAATCCTTTTTTTTGGGGGGGGGGGGGGGGTGGGTCTGGAACTAAAATTGGGCAGGACATATGCTCCAAGCCCTTAATAAAACAATTATTCCACTTCTTAATCAACCAGACACCTACATTTGCAATCAAACAATCTTAAAGGCAAGTTAGAGCTTGATTAATAATCGAAAGGTCGAACTCACCAGTGATAACTCCAGCCGCTGAGCTAGCCATGACAGCATGGGGCATGCCGAGGATACCGACTTGAGGTGTGGCCAGTAGCCCTGGAGCTGCTGTCAAGGTGGTAGGGTTGATGAGGCTGGTAGGGGCTACACTCACCATGTTCATGTTCATGGCTGCTGGTGCAGTCACAGCGTCTAGGGCCTAATGCAGTCATCAAGAGAGGGAAATTACAAGTTATACGGGTAAAAAATAACCAGAATTAAATTAAAGCCCCTCTGAAGTGTTGGGAGCCCCGAATTTGATGGCAAAATTTCACTCAAATTGTATCATAATGGGCAAAAGGATGTCATTTAAGACACATTTCTGCAAAGATTTCCGCCAAAAAATATGTTTGAAGACAAATATTGATAAAAGAATTCATATGTGTGGGGCTCCCAACACTTTAGAGAGGCTTTCAATGTAGACAGCTGTACGGCATGGTCTTGAAATAAGCCACACAGTTTTTTTTTTCTCAACAAAAAAGGCTCATGACTACCTCTTAATACATAGGATTCAGTTTACTACAACACATATTTACAATGTGCTTGAACCCAAGTAATCACATCATTTTTACACTGTCTTTGATGGATCAAATTTTAACAGAATAGAATAGAATTCAATTGAGTTAAAAATACATTTTCAAATCATTGAATTGTCAATCTCTGAAACTTTCTTTACTAGAATCAACTTTCTTCAAAAATTGGGCTACATTTTTTCCTTTCCAGTAGCACAGTATTAAATTCATCACTGAATTAAATTGCTTAGATATTTCCTGATCTAAAAGTACAAGCTTTTGTTTCATATCTATGCTATGATAATGCAAATGATGGTGTATGCACATTGCTCAGAAACAAAGCTTTTTTTCATATCAAAGATACACTCATAAGGTGTCCTAAGTAATAGCTAAGTCATCATAGCAGTGCATTATGACTCCCAACCGTAATCCTTATTGTCCAAAAGATACAAATGTGGTTTTAAGGACAGGTGGCCTTCATGCACAGGTTGTTGCTAAAGCTACTATCAATGTATCATCCACATTACCTGTATCTTAGCTGTAGCAGCAGCTGCAGCAACGGCAGCAGCTGGAGGAAGACCAGAGCCCCCAAGTATCGTAGGAAAACCTGTCATCGTTGAAGGGGTAATAGCCTGTCAAAGAGAAGGATGAGCTCTTTTAGAGGTGAAAAATAATAAGCTTTCTCGTTCTTTTCACTCCCATGAGGATGAATACCAAAGAAGCACTTACCTATGAATAGAGACTTGCTCTTAAAGAACTTTCATATTTCAAGTGATAAGAAATTTGTTGACGACTTGAGATCAAATTCGGAGGCACATGTTCACGTAATCCCACATTAATTAACAGTTTTAGCTCAAAGTAATAATTAATACTAATTTTTTACAGGTCTTTGATAAATCTAGCCAAAGGGTGTACGCAGATTGCTCAGACAAAAAGCCATTTTCATATCAAAGATACACTCATAGGTGTCCTAAGTAAAGCTAAGTCATCATAGCACTGTACTGCATTACCAGAACTGCCTCTGTACTCATGCCTATTATGTTTACCTTCCCCCCCCCCAAAAAAAAAAAAAATTGATTTGTCTTTTCTTCATATGATTTTGTTTTATCTTTTGTTTGTATTATAATTTGTATGTTTTATTCAGTTCACAGACTTTCTGAATAACAGCCCTGTAGGCTGAAGCGAGTTACCATGATTAAATAAATAAATGAAAGGAAAAAACGAATTGGAACCCTAACCTCAATCCTCTGGCTTTGATAAAATAATGCCCAGAGCAATTGTAGCTGGAGCAAATGGAAGAGCACCCACCCACCCAAAATAGGCTACATCATCAATTCTCAATTCCAATGGGCACTTACCCTTCCGACTCTGAGGAACTGGCCACCAAGATCAAAGAGGTTCATCGACGAGATGGCATCCGACGCTGACTGCATACTATCATATTCAATTATTCCATGACCCCTACAGGAAGAGAGGAAGATGAAGGTGAAAATAATACTTAACACATTGCCTGGTGACCCATGTATTAAGCCTATGGAAATTAATCCTTCAGTAGTTAAAGAATTGAAGGGATTGGGTATCTTTGCCTCAGATTCTAGACAAAACCTGGATTTAGCTCATGCTGCAATCATAATTATAAACTTTTAGGTCAGTCAGGAATCCCATGACTTTTACAAGCCGATTTTCTGACTGATTATGAAGATATTTATGATTGGAAATCGAAATTTCAATAACACTACAGTCTATTAGGGAAAATGAGTATGGTAAAACCGGTCACTCAAAGGTTTTTTTTTACTTTTTTGAGGCACTTCATGCTCACTTTGAAGCACAATTTTCTTAAGGCTTCAATATTACACCATTTCAGAGGCACTGATAACACGTAGGGCCATGCATCTCAGATTTGTAACACTGGAAACATTGTTTAACGATGCCTTCAACCCTACTTTAACCGGGCTATTTCAGACCAGGTTTCACAGCCGATCGGCGCCAAAATTTGCATGCATGTCAAGTGAAGTGTATAGAATACTGTGGTAATTTCATTTTTTTTGAAAAATTCACTCATTTGTGCAAATAAGGTCATAAAGTTCACAATTTTACCCATAAATCATATATTATTCATATTCAAGCATTCTTTTTCACAATATGTATTCGTTAGTCCATTTGGAATAATGCTACGACAAACAAAATTGGAAGAGTTCGGTTATCCCTTAGGTTATCTCTTCTCATGATGTTTTATCTCTTTTTAGGGAAAATGATATTTCCATATGTTTTGTACACAAGTCACAAAAATGAGCGATTTCGGGCTGACATGTAAAGACAAAATGTCACGTGACTTTGTAAGTATACAACCGATTTAAAAAAAAAAATATTTTAAAAGATGAGTAAGACTCGAAAAAAAAAGTCATGAAGGGAAAACTTGATATCTGCCGTGGTTCCGGAGAAGTCGCTAAATTACTACAGGGGGGGGGGGGGAATTGACCCCCCCCCCCCGCCCCGGTTAACATAAGATTAAATGGCTTCCCCTGAATGCATCATACACTATTCAGAAAAGGCAAGAGGATATTTCAATAACTCTGGTTGACACAAACTTATAAGTTACATTAGTGAATCCATACATTTCTGAAATTGTTATACACCAAGAAGAGGGAAGGTGTGAAATGATGGCATTAAATTAATGGTTTAGTTTGTCTGTAGGTCTAAAAGGAATGCAACATAAAACATCTATCAGCTAATTTATTGATAATCTGAAGAACATGAATACTTGAATAATTTAGTCAAAATCTGCTAATGATGCACGCTAAACAAAAATGTATCAAGTAAATACATATAAACCTGTTTATTATAATACAATGAAAAGAAGAGAGAAAGAAAGAAAGGGACTTACTTATGTTTTCCTCCGACAGAGTCCGACGGTAGACTACAGGATATAATTTTACCAAAGGCTTCAAATACACTGTACGAGAAAAAGGAGAGAAAATTGTTTCATTATGAGTTGATCAAAATTAAAAATGTTCAGAACTGGGTGAAGGCTAATTTCCTCTAGTCCGTATTTTACTAGGACCATAAAACATAGTCATGATAGTCAAAGCTTTTAGAACAGATTTGGACCTAGGCATCTTCAAGCTTCATTTCAACCCAAAATTGTACCTTCTTAATAATTCAATTCAATTCAATTCTCCACAAATGCAAAACATAGGGAGATACAAAAAATAAAATACATGCACACAATACAATAATAATACATGTACATCATATATAAAATGACTCCTTTCGGAGCAATGTATGTTTTAAAAAGAAAAAAAGGGGTAGTCAAAAATCAAAAAATGATTTATTGAGGACTATCTCTAATAATACCAAAAAAAAATAAAATTAAAACTTAAAAGTAAATATTAAATAAAATTATGAGGTGGTACCAATGACAAGAAAGAAGAGGGAGAAAAAAATAAAGACATGGAAAAAATAACACAAAAAAAAAAAAAATTAAAACTTAAAAGTAAATATTAAATAAAATTATGAGGTGGTACCAATAACAAGAAAGAAGAGGGAGAAAAAAATAAAAGACAGGGAAAAAATAATCAATGCAACAATTAACAAATTCCCTGAGTGCAAACATTAGCTCAAGAAAACTGAAGCACTGGGAAACAGTACTTTAATTAAGTAGTGCCTTTTCAGGCAGCCTTGCACATCGGAAATTGTATATTCTTTGCTTGCATATTCTTCTATGTCTGTTGTCATCACTTCCATTCTTTATAGTGCTGTGAATTTTGTAATGGAGGTTTGAGAATAAAGGAAAATATTGACAAGGGAGAACAACAAACCTTTTGATGTCCTCAGACGAGAGATCTGAATGAATCGATGTAATAAATATCCTAGGTTGGTGTTTAGCCTCTTCCATGATTGCATCCACAACCGGCTGTGCTTGAGGCATGTTGCTGGGTCGACCCACCTACAAAGACAAACAACCAAGATAACTGTAAGAGTCAATGGAGCAGTAGTAGGTTTCGGTACTTAGGATTATATTCGTCATGGAGAATTTCTTGGACATTGGTTCACTTCATATGACTACTCTGCAAAAGAGGGTCCTCAAAGGGAATCAGTGATTCAAAAGTAATCTAAAGTATTTACCTTCAATAAGTGAGCAAATACTTTAAGAACGTTCTCTCACAATCCTCTAGCCCCTGCCTCCTTCTCCCTCGTACTTGTTCGCTTGCTCACTCACACTCTTCCCCTCTCCCTCTTTCTCTATCTCTCTCATCATTTAAAGCTTATCTGCCGTAGTTTACAGGAGGGATTAGACAGCCCTGCAAGGTCACTGGACAGGTGGTTATCTCATCAACTCAGCTCTCAGTTAACATAAGAAAAAGAGGATCATGGGGGACCAATGGTCACCCATTGATCATTGTTTGTTATATAGAGTGCGCAAGTAGCTACAAGTAGTGCAGTGGGCCTTTAAGCTCTTTTCTTTCCTATCACATTGAAAGCTTCACAGGATGATATTTAGAGGATTCTTGTCATGCCACAGCGGAATCACAGAGAGTATTAGACCCAGCACACTGCTTAACGGTGCCTAGCAACCAGCTACATACATGCCAACATTTGAAAATCAGAAATCTGTACACTATGTGCGCGAAGCGCACATCATGAGCGCGAAGTCCTTGTAGCCGGGGTCCAGGGCCCGCTTTAGGGCCCTGGAAGCTCTGGGTTTCCAGATGCTCTCTGTTGCAATCTGAGCCTATTTTAGGGACCATTTCCCCTAAAATTCAACCCAAGTTTATGGGTAATTTTTGTGTCATACTACTACTAGGTCTAGGCAAATTCATGCAAAAAAATATATTCAAGAAATTGACTTGAAAACACATCAGACAATTAGTCTGAACCGAGTCAGGAGCAAATTTGAAGAAATTATATTTTTAAATGTTGTCAAACCAAAGATATAAGAAGAAAACTGACCAAGTATCTGTACTAAAAATCGTACATGTAAAATTGGTCGTAGACATTCTGAACATTTCTGACAGCTGAAAATGACGTGCACGGTTGTGGTACGTGCGTTCTCGAATCCAAAATCGTATCTCACACACACACTCTCGCCATACCGCGAATGGTCCGTCGTGGGGAGCTAGCCGCCTGAGAGTTTGCCAGCGATACCAACGCACCCTCGGAGCTCCGCAGCGCACAATTTTAGCGGAACTCGAAAGGTTCGAGGTGGGAAGGTGGCGGGCTAGCTTTTTGCCATCGTTCCTTGTATTCCTGTTTGTACTTCTGAATTCGTCTTGCTGCTGTTCCGCTCATTTTGACAGATTTTCTTCCGAGACAAATCACAAATCACAAAGTAGACCTATACAGTACCTCGAAACACGTACTTTGCATGGGGACCCTATGCATATACGGTGCGCTATAGCCGCGATAGCCAATGCATGCATGCTGCGCTGATATGCGTGCAGTATAGAAATTATACTTACGAGATTTGCCAGCGCAAGTATTTACGTACGGAAATGTTACGTACGGAAACACATATCAGAGTGCACGTGGCGCGCAGCAACACGCTGCCACTGTACGTACATATCAGTGCACGTTGCACGCACCTTGCGCAATGCAATCCGTTCAGCACTCGATCGGATCAATGCTATGTATGGAAAGCCAAATTCCCCCAAATCGGAACGTTCCGTTTTTTAGGGCTATAAAAACTTCAAAAACGGAACAGTTCCGTTAAAATCGGAACGGTTGGCATGTCTGCAGCTATGTAAGTCCCCTCTGGGATGCAGATTGCTCAGACTCAAAGCCATTTTCATATCAAAGATACACTCATAGGTGTCCTAAGTAAAGCTAAGTCATCATAGCACACTGTAAAGCAATAACAACCATACTATAAATGCAATTTGCAATTTGGTGACAATTTTGTAGTTCTACTACCAAATGCAGATAAATCTAGTAAATCTACTTGGTCTTGGCCAGTTTAGTACCATTGCCTCAGGGCCTGTGCCCCTTGGGAAAGTGTGCTAATACAGTCATCTCAACCCTATAGATTTAAACAGAGTCTCTCGTGGCAGTGTTGTTTTAATGCTTCTACATATTCTAAAGCAATTATCATTTTTGGTGTTTGGCCAATAAAATTACATACAAAAGGTAGTTTTAAGAGGGAAAGGGGGGCATTTTACCAGGGGGGGGGGGGGATTGCGTTACTTCAATTGGTCGTCAAACCGTTACCTTGATGTTCCTGCCACCGATCATGACGCCGTTCATCTGCTCCAGGGCCAGCTGTGCAGCCTCAGGCAGGTCGTATTCCACGAACGCAAAGCCCTTGTGCTTCATGGTGATGGGATCCCAGGACATGTTGATACTCTTGATAGGACCGAAGGGGTGGAAGGCTTGGCGTATGGTGTCCTCCTTGAGCTCAAAGCTGATGGAACCCACGTACACCCGGCACATCAGGGCAATGGCCCGCTGCCTCTGGGCCTGCATCTGAAGGTTTGACATTTGCTGCAGGATAAGGAGAAAAGAAACAACAGTTTGGGTTATATTAAAGATAAAGACCAGTTATGGTCATGGAATTGCATTGTGAAAGAAACGTTATGAAATCAATCAGAAAAAGTTTATCATCTAGCATAGACCTGGAATCATCAAAATGATAAGAAATTTGGCCCAGTCTTCATAAAGTTACAAGCACTGTACACAGAAAGATGTATATGGGACTACACACACGTGCGCGACACATGCGTTTTTATCTCTCACACACTAATAGATAAACTAATTTATCAAATATATCAACTAGTAGGCGGTTTCCCGGCAAATTTTTATCATCATGTAACAATTCAAAACATGTTCTTTCACATGATTGGTAATAAGAGCTTCCATTTCATTTTTTGAAATTGGGGCGTTTCCAGTACTGGTCTTTACCTTTAAGAACAAGCACCATAAGCAAGTAGCCATCATCATAATAACTATATTTCTTTACCATTAATCCACACTGATTTAACTTTGCCTTGCAGGGTTATAATTTGAATGACTAAGCAAGGGCAAAGTGCAATTTTCCCCATGCTGTTTCTTCTCTGAAGTTCCTTTCACTTAGCACATGTAACTCTAGCATAATTTAATGTTATAAAATAGTTACAACGTGGTTAGGTTTGAAGTTGGTTTAAGGGATAGGTATAATGATAGGTCCAGGGCTGTAGTAAAGTTAAATAATCATTGCTAGAATTGACCACCAAGCAATCCTGATTCTTACCTGTTGCTGGTGCGCTAATGTCTGTTTGACCAGCACGCTCTTGATGCTCTGCTCCATGGCATACTTCTTAGACTTCATGACAGCCTCCTGCTGCTCCGCGCTCAGCTTAGGTAGCCCCATCATGGACGGCATCCCGGGCAACGCCAGCAGAGTCTCCTTCTTTGCACCGGGGCCAGCGAGTACCGGCCCTGTCTGCTCTGCAAACTGGAACTCAAAGCTCTGCAGCGATGGTGGTGGAGGCGGCGTGGAGGACTCCTCTTCGACTGCGAGGTCCATGAGGGAAGCTTCACCATGGAGGGAAAGGGATAACAGGAGAGTGTTAGAGACCTTCTTGTGAAGGAGAACTTGATAGTATGCACTGTGTGGACATGCTTGCCACACCACTGCACACCATCAAGGGGTCATGCCCTTAAAAAAAAAAAAAATCCCCCCCCCCCCCCCTGCCCGGTTTTTCTTCTTCTTTCAAATTCAGCAAATTAGAATAGAATGAAGCTTTTATCAAGTGTGAGAAAACTTAGGTAAAGGCTGAATGATATTTATCTGTTTTTCAGATGCAAACATAACTAGGTTTGAATAGTCTATTCCCTTTCGTTTCTGCTTGGCAAACATACATGAAAATGCTAATGAACAATCACTTCATTATTTAAATAGTTTTTCATCTCACAATTCATTTACGACCAAATTAGCTTCTCTATACATTGTTAGAGAGATAGAGTACCAAGTCTAAGCTTGCTTATCTAAAATTTCTCAATAAACCTTTGAACAACCATGATTATACCAAAAACAAAGAAATCCCATCTATTCAACAGAAAGAGGTCACAGCAGACAAAATACAGTTAAGGAAGTCATGTCAAATGCTTCTTTCATACCGACGCTTGCCACAAAGAAATGAAAGAGAGAACAATGGCATAGAGAACCGTGGCAAACGTCTATATGTAATCCACCATTCTATACAAACAGCACCGTTTGTTTACCACTAGAGTAGCGTTAAGGGGTGGTTGGAATCGATAGCTGAATGATGGGTTGCGGTGCAGCATCGGGTCGATATTTTTTTTTACATGGGATCGGTCGGACGGTCCGAAGAGCGCAAAGGTCAGCGACCTCACTGGCCATGGTGGATTGCTTGTGGGTCGGCCAAGGTCAGAGGTCATATGTTTACATACAACCTCATCACCTCCTTTTCACACATGCTGCTCTAGCTGAAGCTACATGGCATAAAATAAAGAATAAAAATGCAAAGAAAAAAATACAAAAGACAGGGAAGAAAAACCTTGAGTCAAATCCAACATCAGCAAAAGACAAAATATTTGCAGGAAAAGGGGATAATGCTTCCTATGTTTGGCTTGTATGGCTGGGCTTACAAAATGTCAAGGGGTTCAATTTTCAGTGATGGCACTTACATGTTAATGAACCAAGCACTTACAAATTCAAGAAACACCAATGCTACTCTTCATGGTACCTAATGTTTATTTATTTGCTAATTGGAAATTTTTACTTATCCAGTAATGGTAACATTCAAAATATGTTCTTGATGATCTATGTGACATCTACATTCTGGTACAAATTCCAAATTAAGGTTCTCTGGTTTCTCAGAAAGTAAAATTGTATACAAATTTGTGTCAATCTACATACAGAAGGAATATGACAGCAATGTCAGGTAACAAATGTATCATTTCTAAGAGTGGCTATTGGGGACTCGCAGATTGAACTGCTTCTTTCATTAAGTCGATCGGAAATCTCTTAAAAATTTGACCAGGGAACAGTGAGGCATATTAAACTGCAAGGGGATTCAAGATAATAAGCATCTTTGTTGCAAGTTCTGCTATCAAAGCAATTTCTATTGACGGGGGATGTGGGAGAGGAGGAATAAAGAGAAAAAAAATGTGATGATGAGACGTCTCGGTCGCTCAGTTCTGTTAGCTGCTCAGAAAGACAATGCGTCACTCCTTGCTGGTTTTGCTTTTATATGCAAATAAAAAAATGACCAAAAAACAAGAGAAGAAACACATAGGTTACGATACATAGGGCCTTTAAGCAGGCCAATAACCTTTCTTTAATTCACCTTCCACATCAACACACATTAGCTTCAAGATTAAGTAGAGATTTCTTACAAATGATGTTCCCGACATTAAAATGTTGGGAATAATTCCGACTTTACTGCCAATTTATATCCTGATTTTACGTCAACAAAGAGGTGTTTCTCCATCATATTGAACAACAATTGATGCACTTATAACATATCACATCATAGTATTCTCCAAACACTAATAATAGTGAAATCCTTAAAACTTAATTCAATTATCTTTTCCCCTCACTACAACTTTCAGATAATCCTTTGCAACTATGATTGTATAAATATATGACCTATAATATCTGAACATGCAGCAATAAAAACAAAGAAAAGTTGTGATAGCTTTTCTCCCTACTCTATCAAAATAGTTGTTTTACTTTTCATTTTCTTTAATGCACACATTTCAGAGTGCCTCATCGCACAGCCGCCTGCGTCAAGTGCACGGGAATAGCTGCAAACCTGGAAGAATAACGAACAAGGAAAGAAAAAAGAGAGAGAGAAAGAGCAGAGCATTTACAGTGGTCTAACATCCATTCATGCCATTTTCTTTCAAATCATTGGCATACTAACGTGTAGGTTTTACCTTTCATTAATCTGCATATACATGTAAGGGTGTGTGGGACAGTACAAGTTTATTATTTCAGGAGACACTTATCGAAATTGTTAAAAGTGAAGGAAGGGATGAATGAATTATGAAGGGTCTGCAGAAGAGGATAAAGCAAATAGAAAGACTGTGATAAATGGAGTATTCTACATGACAGGAGAATGGATGGGCAATCTGTCCATGAAAAATACATATTGCCGCCCCACTATAACATTTTTTTTAAATAAAAAATAATAAATAATAAAAAAAATCAATTAAATAATTTTCAAGGAAACAATTTGAGAACTGGGATGCAAACACAAATAATGTTGGACTAACATGAGCAACAGGAGGGGTTATATCTATCAATTCAAATCTACATTGTTTCCTAACCTTATTCATGCACCATTCCCAAGTTTTTAAGAGGATGTGAGTGATTTTTTTTATCATAAAGTAAGTAAATCTGCCACCTTACAGCATTCCTAACAACAGTTATTTATACTACATGAGATTCTTGTATTCCACGATGTCGTTTCTGAGAATAAAACCCATTCAGTTCTGCTGCCATGACGATGCTTTACCAAAGCCTACGAAGAAGAAAACTCAAAAACAAAGAGAAACAAAACAAAAGACAAATATCAGAAGCGATTGAAATGATCGTATGAACATCAGATGTGTTTATGGTTAGCTAAGGAGTACTGGTCAAATGCAAGATGGAAAAATGTAAGAAATCTTAGGAAGATGAAGTTTGCAAAAGCTTTCAAGGTGGTTCATGTCACATTTTGACCTCTACTACTGTACATGTAGTTGTTCCAACATAAAAGTTTCATCCTATCACATTAATGAGTTCTGTCTCCTGAATTTTTGCGCCACATGGCCGCACCAAAAAACGATTAAAACTTTTAGTTCTAATTTTCAACATTTCGTTGATACAGTCTTTTTTTTAAGGGGTTGTCTACACACCAGTATTGAGCTACACACACACATACACAGTCATACAACAGCAGAAAACGTTCAGAAAACGTTTGAAAGCAAAACTGAACCAAATGGTAAACAAAGAATTTCTCACCATCAGAACATGTTCTTTCATGACAGCACAACCAATGCACCGTGGAGTCATTGCTTTGATTTTCCATGTTCTTGTTAAAGCTATTAATCTCTCATTTTAACAGAAATAATATAACTTGGCATTCTGGTGGGTTAGCTACATTACTCAGAAATTTCTTGATGATAATCCCAGCTTTCAGATGGTGAAAAATTGCATGTTTACCACCCCATGTTTGCAAATTGACATGAAAAGTCACAATTTCATATGATCAGTTGCAACATTCAGAATAAACAATTACATGTGTAATGAAAAAAACTCGGCTTAAACTTTTGCAGAATGCAATGGATCGATCATTTTAGTGTAACATGGCAACAAAACTTGATATAACATTTCTTCCATAGAATTCATTATATCAATATTAGAGTGTCGACTAATCCAGGAAATATATGTATAGAATGAAAGAGCAGTACAAATTAAATTCACTCAGTACTAGGCACGTGCACAACACACTCCATATCACTCCTGTAAACCCCTACACGTTTTTGGATTATTTTTCTCTGAGGACAAGTTTTCAGTGGAGTATACCTAGCCTCGTTTCAGATTTTGCAAACTTCATGTTCCTGCATATCAGGCAGAATATACCCACCAGGTTGTGTCTCCAATTCCAGCTTGATCTTCTTGGGGGATGGTTCTTGCATTTGGATCTCTTCCACATGGTTCTCTTCCATCAGGGCAACTGGCTCCTGTCAAAATAGAAATAATAAAATTGATAAAAAGTTATAAGAAATAAATAGCCTTGAATTTAAATCAACCTCAAGAATCTATTTTATCAACAACAAAAATTGATAAAAGATGAAAGAACATTTATCCATTAAAGCCCGTCTGCACTAGTTTGGCCAGGGGGATTAGACCTCTCTGCAAGGTCGCTGACAGGTGGTTATCTCATCAAATCAGCTCTCAATTAACATAAGAAAAGGGGATCATGGGGACCAACAGGCACCGATTAGGCATTGTTTGCTATATAGAGGGCGCAAGTAGCTGTAAGTAGTGCACTGGGACTTTAAAAAGGCAATGCTTACTTTTCATTTAGCCTTAGGATAGGCGCGTACTGGCGATGCGAAAAACGGATTCTGCGTAATAAAATATCCCTAATTCACCGTCTACTTTATGGGTTGTCCGTCTTCCCGAGGATTTATCGCTCCTAAACCAGTATGGTACCTGGTGAGGGAATGAGGATGAGGATGAATGAGGACAAATTGTGTCCACAAAAATAAGGATCGTCTGCATTTTTGTGGACTTTTTTTTTCATCAGCGCTCTGCAGGTTTTGGGTTTCCGACCGCGCGCTGGCAATGCAAAAAAAGGATTCTGTGTAAGAAAATAACCCCAGTTCACCGTCTATTTTTATGGGTTGTCCGTCTTCACGAGGTTTTATCGCCTAAATATGAAAAGTCTCTGTACAAAGTCAATCACGGAATCCGTTTCTCGCATCCCAACGCACGGATCGGAAATCAGAATCGTCCGCGTTTACGAAGACGATCCTTATTCTCGGGCCAGCCTATTCCCTCAACATGCAAATTCCAATCATGATTCCCCTTGTTTGTTGAATTTTCAAAGCACTTTCTTGATTCAAACCTGCTTGCATTTGCTGCAGCCGTCTGCAACCTGCCTTGGCCTGGATTGGGCCAGCATGCTGCACGCCAGTAGACCTACCCACATGATGGCATGCACATACACAGTCAGCACACTACACACACACGCACAGCGTTAGCCGTTTATACATTCACTCACAATGCCAAATCAATGATAGTCCACGTATTTGAGAGAAATCGAAGACTCGACTCTCTCTACTCTAGGTCAATTCTTCTCATTTTCTTTACTTTCCAAGGACTAATTTCCCTATTAAACCATCCTATGTTTATCTACATATTACGAAATATATATTTCAGGTCGATACTTACAGCATCTCCATTAGTTTCTGCCATTATGGTAGTCGTTCCCTCTTCGTTTTTGCATGAAATATGAACAGTACATTAAATTTATCGGCTACCCATTCGCTCGGCTAGCTGCATGCGTTATGCGTTCGTTCAGCTAGCTAGCTTGGAATTAGTTTGGAAGCAGCGAATTTTCGTCTTTTAATTAATTGAATAGCGCCATCTCTTTGATCTCTGCATTTAGCTTAGGATTCTGTGTTGACGAATTTTGGCATTGCAAGTGACAAAGTCCGGGATTACTTATGGCAAATTCACAGGCAAGTATAATTTATTAATTATCTAAAATTGGCATATGTTCCTGTCTTTCCTGTGAAGGTACAAAGATCAACTTTATTAGAATATAAACAGGCTTGGGTGTCATTTCTTTAGGGTAAATAGTTGTTGGACTAGTACCATTCGCCGGTTTATTTCGTTTGGTGCGTAGAAATCTATACCCGCAGTCAATGTACACGTTCAATGCCTGCATCTGTGACTGTGATAAGTGAGTGAAGTGCGATTGTGAATAAATGAATCGTGATAGATTGTGTAGATCCTAGTTATACGGAGAGGAAGAATTGGACAGTTGAATTTTGTATTGCTTTGATTGTGGCCTGGCTGGATAACTGTTACGCATTTGCACTTGTTTTGAAATGTTGCAAAAAGAAGGAGAAGGACTCCGAACTCCGAAGAGAAAAAAAACCCAGCAAAATTCCTTTTAAATCAGGGTCGCTGGTCCGAGAATGATGATCGTCTGTATAAACGAGGACATCATCGTAAACGCGGACAAATTGCGTCCTAAAAAATAAAGACCGTCCACATTTTTCGTGAAGGTTTTTTTTCTTCATCGACGCTCGTTGACGATCAGCCATGCACAAGAAGACGAAAGACTTGATGCATGGCTGATCATCAATGAAACGGAGTTGAGCCTTTTGTCCACTCTGTTTGTTGCTACGGCAGGCAGCCAGTGAAAAACGATTTTTGTTTAATCAAATTATGGAAATGCAAGCATTACTTTAAACAAACAGAATTTTGTTATTCCTGGCTCATTTCTCCTGATTGAGGTGTCATATGAAAGGGCAGAAAATGAACTTTCTAGAAATGTGATTTTCTCTTTGAAATTCAGATACCACCCACCAAGTCACTTTTTGATACCCTCTCCAAATTGTTTTTAATCATTCATGCGTTGTGAAATATGCATCATATGAGTTGCATCAAATGAAAGAGGAAGATCTAAGCTTTACAAATATGTGTCATTCATTAATTATAATTGTGATTAAGTTATGATAAAACATCAATAATTCTCGGTTTAGTTTTTCTGGGAGGCCCTGTACAGGGCACATTCATACAGACTCTCAAAAGTTCAATCCGGACCGCCATCTATTCTACCATTATTCACCCTTCTCTCAAACTGTTCTTTTTATTTTCCCCCTTTTGTTTAGGGTATAGCAATGGAGAACATCACCAGGCAACTCCAAGGCAAGGTCTTCATCCAGAGAGACTACTCAGAAGGCACAGGGGTCAAGTTCCAGACAAAGCTTCCCCAAGAACTCACAGATCGAGTAAGTACATTGAATGGAAATCAGTGACAAATGACAGTTTGTGTTATAAGCTACTGAAATCCTTGCTTCTGATTGGTTACAGGGAAAAAATTAATATTTATTTTTCGGTTACTTTTCGACCTTGCCTGCATGAAAATAACATTCTAAAAGTTGGGGCTCTTCCGGGTATATCGGGGGCTATTTTGCCCGGAGCCGCTGTGTATTTTTTTCACTGATTGGTTATCAGCAGATTTGTCACTGATTTTTTTTTTTTTTTCATTGAAAAAAGGCTTTGTGAAACAGGTCCCTGTTGTATGACATGTAGGCTCTGGCAACGATTACTCTGTGGTCAATATCCCACACTGCAAACTGAAGTCCCAACAGTGGACTGAATGCTATATCTCCTGTATCCTTCACCTTGACCCTAACCAAAAACTCAATTGCAAGTTGAGAATGTGTACTTCAGATATACAGTGTATGTTAGTACTTTAAAGAGTCAAAGTAGTGGGCTCTCATGGGAATTCGACATCATTAGTGTGTTTGAGTGTTGTCAATTACCAAGATTAGTATTCAGTTTTGAAACAAACAGGTACCGTATTAAGTAATGTTCTACATTTTGCAATACCAATCGCCCCATATAGGAAAAGTCAATATCTTACATTTCCCTTTCACCCAAAGACTAATTGAGAGTCTAGGTGTTATTTCTTGATGGGACCACGGGTTCGCTATGTGGGAGAATTGTACACCCATTAATAGTATTACCACCAAATCTGGTGTCGGCGAATTATGACCTACTGAACATGTAAGCTGACTACCACCTCCCTTTAAGTATAGACCTTGCTGATAAATGATAGGTCAAGCAGCAATTAGCAATAATGGGATTGAAAGGAACACCTTAAAAAGATGATGGGAATTGTTATTTACATATTTGTTTGTCTACCAGGTAGTTATTTCTACAAAAAGCATTAAACTTAAGTTCATGTAAACTTCAAAGAAAAACTCAACATATAAAAAAATGGTGAAAATATTAATTCAATGACACAATCACACAAATACATGGCATATACTGGTAGATAATAGAGTTATTTGCCCATGATATTAGACTTACCGGTAGTAACAAATTAAATATCACCACTAAACTTATACTTTATTTTCTCCTGCCAACTCTCTAGATTGATCAAGCAAGATTTGAGTTCACAGTCAACAAACTGAATGAGTTTTACGCTGAGGCCGAGAGGTTAGGGGCCAGGACGTACTGTGAAAGCTGCCTAGCATGTTTGACTGCGTACACAGTACTGGTCTGTATGACTACACATTATGACAAGGTACAGTCTGAAATAAATCTTATCAATCTAATAATTTTGAAGCAGAAATTGCAGCATTTAGACAGGAATTGAGCAAGTTTGGGGAATGCTAATTTGTTTTTAAAACAATTTTCTATATCTCTTGTTATACAGCATCAAGTGTTCTTTCTTTTTCCTTCTGAATACTTAGTTTTAATATTTTGTATGTGTATATAGTAGAATCCCCCCAAAAGAAAAGTTGATTAAAAAAAAAAAAAAAAAAAAAATGGATTTTGTACATGTAGGAGCGCTTATTGACATTTTCGCCTATTTGTAGCTTCAGGCCAACATGGTTATACAATAGAATGCATTCAGGGAAGAAACAAAATAGTAAACACCCAGGCTTCCCATGCACTGAATGAAATGTAAAATGTTAGTTTATTTTTTATAACCTAAAAAGTGTTTATTTTGATATAGTTCACATGTTTAAAAGCTTAGCATTGCCTACTGCATGTAATTGCTACAATTTATTAACATTCCATTCAATATTTTATTTTTTCCTCTTGCAGTGTGTTAAAAAAGCAGGTCTGTTCATTCAGCAGCAGAACGATGAAATATATGCTCCACGAGGGTTGGTCATCACAGACCCGTTTACGAGGGGTCTCAGAGTTGTATCCTTTTAAGATTATTAAGTATATGTAACATCATCTGCTAAGAGCCAGAAGGATGTTATCTCATATACTTTTGCAAAGAGTTGTGCCCTTCTGGCTCTCAGCAGACAATATATATGTATAGGCCTCACCAACATATCAAATAACATGTTTAACAATATTTCATCGTGACTGTACCATGGACCAGTGATGGCCTGCAAGGCCTGGTGGTAAAGTTGTTGCTAAGCAGTAGATGGCAGGTTCCAATCCCGCTGGTTAAAACAAATTATCCTGACTGGTTTTTAAATTACAGGAACAAGCACACAATCATTATTTACCGGGTAAAGACCAACTATTTCTTTAAAATTGAAATTACTCCCAGGAAGCCTAGCATTCAAATGTTTTTCTGTACTGGTTGTTAACAAATTGTAGTACATGTAGTTTCTTGAAAGAGGAAGTCTACTCGAGTATCATGTTAGCTTTGACAAAACCATAAAATAAGAAAGTTTGAGGAATATGTGATTAAGGATAAGATAGTTATGAAGTTATTATTGATTTAAAAAAAACAAGGAAGAGATTCTCTCTCTCTTAAAGATAGTTGTCAAATCGACTTTTAGAGCTATAGAGCCAGTAAGTAATAGTCTGATTTTCAGACCATTGTACCGAATGGTCATATGTTTTACATGTATGCTGCGCAAAGTTTCAATCAGTTTAATTTTGGCTATTACAAGAAGTGGGTTATTGATGTAGACAAATGCTCATGTACTCTTTACAGCTCATTTTATGTATGTTATTACCAAAGAAGAAAAAAGCCAGTCAGTCACTCAATAGTGTCTGACAGTGAAGTCTAGCAAGTAAAAGAGTTTCCTTGCATAATTTGATGACATATTGACATATTCATAATTCCTGCAAAGTTCTACAGAATTTGATGTTGGCTGCAAAAGGGACATAGCACCTTTAAGAGTTTTTTTCCTTAACTCATCTAATCCCCTTCAGGTTGAGATCACAGTGTATGCGACCGACACATGATCACGGCATGGCCATGATGGTTCATGGTTTAATATCTCTTCCTGTGGGATGATCGTCGAACAGGGCACAGACTACCAACATCTCTCGTGTAAATAGCTTGACCAAGAAATTTTCATACACCTTTTTTTATGTAAATATAAATATGAATATAAATATAAATATCAGTAATGTTTGATCCCATTTGTGTGATCTAATGCTTTCAATATTTATTAATGCTTCAAATTGTTAAAACTATAGTCACTATAGTTTAATGGCCAAATCTGAATTTCAGTCAATGTAGGTCATATCACCTTCATGAATTTTGAAAATAGAAAATCGCTTGGTTTCTAGCATAATAATTTGTATTAGTGACATTCATAGTTTTACACCTGTAGAAAATTTGAAGTTAATCATCCTTTTTGTAAAAAGGGGTGGGGGTGGTGTCATATCTTTTCATGATTACCGGTACTCTCAATATTCTAATATTCGAAAATTTTCAATGTACCTTTTAAACATGCCAGCTTAAATATGATAGAACTTCAAAGAAATTGATTTTTCTGAATTTCAGAAGGGTGCTCAATATAAGCTTTATTTCATGTACTCCCACTTTACAAACAAGTAAAGAAAGATACCAATATCTGATAAAAACATATGTTCGCTGATATACCATTAACTTTAAGTGATGACATTTTTCAGATTCAAACTTTCTAGGTATATATCCTGTTACAGTCATGACTCACTCATGTTCATAATGTTTAGGTATTTTTGCACTCTACAATGTATCGAGTATGTCATTGATATCAATGTTGTCCACCATTGTCCTTTGTGTTTGTGTCTTTATATTGTTTGTTTTTATTGAAATGTCTGTCTTTGTTTTCAGACATTTTACTTCTGTATATCTCAGCTGCTGCTTGTTTGTATGTGTACAAATTCTATTCTAATATATTTCCTTGTAAATTTAAATTAAAACTATGAATATACTGTTTAAGCCTCGGTCACAAATGCCATTACGAACTGCTACGAACGCTGTACCGACGATTTTCAGACAATGGAAATTCGGGAAGACAATGTAAAACGGAGATTCATACGAAATTATCATTCGTACGAACCTTTGTGACCATAGCATTACATAATTGTCTCATCATTGGCCATGTACATGTAGAAGTTTGATTAAAAAAAATATTAACATCCATGCATTTGCATACTTACTCTTTTCAATACCTCTACCAAGGCATAATCATAAGGTCAAAACTAAAGCATGTCATGTTCATGTAAATTCCTGGGTAGCCAGCCATTGTCATTAGCCATTATCATTCGTACGAACCTTTGTGACCATAGCATTACATAATTGTCTCATCATTGGCCATGTACATGTAGAAGTTTGATTAAAAAAAATATTAACATCCATGCATTTGCATACTTACTCTTTTCAATACCTCTACCAAGGCATAATCATAAGGTCAAAACTAAAGCATGTCATGTTCATGTAAATTCCTGGGTAGCCAGCCATTGTCATTAGACTTTTGAAATATGCTCCGTTTTGTTTTTCGCCACTTCAATGAAGCTAATAATAAACATAATGATGATAATGTATGAGATTTGTAAGATGCCAATTCCACTTGAAAGCAGATGTCCAAGGCACATTAGCGAAAAAAGAAGAAAGAAAAAAATCCCTTTAAAATGATAGACTGCCATAAAATTGTACTGCTCAATGGTCCATAATTTTTGTTTTGCCTTGTTTTGTTTGTTTGTTTGCACGTCTGTTTTGTCATGAGAGAGCTAAATATTAGATATCCACTGAATTGTAGAGTTTTATTGATTATGGTTAGTTACGTTTTAAACTGCTCCTTTTGCTGTATGTTAAGGCAACACTTTGGTACAGGGTTCTGTAAATTTCATCAAAATGACTATGAAATGCTGTATGTATTTCTTATTCAAATTTTGTGACCTTCTTCAGAACTCTGCTGAAACCAAATACTTATGAAGTCGTTTTTTGTAATGAAGAGTCACCAAGAGAGAATGTAATATGAAATTGACATCATGAATAGTGTAATGTTTATAATACATGTATTTGGTAAACACTCAGTATTGTTGGTTGGTTTGTTGCTTTACCTGACTACTAAGAAAGCATGTGTATGCTTGTATTAATTAAAGAATTATTGTATTAAAGTAAGCAACCAGGGGACCCACAGCTTCAAGTCCTCTCCAAGGCACTTAGTAATGAGGAATAATGCTTTAGCAAACGTCACAATAACATCAAATTGGTTTCTTCAGATTGCTGGCTTGTATCGTGTTATATTTTTGTAATTATTTTGTTTGTTCTTTGTATCTTGATGTTGTTGCAATTTGTGACTTTGACCATGAAAACGTTTGTTTGATATTGGTGAAAAGCAATTATAAGATATTGAGGGCCATAACTAAAAACTGTGATATCTAATACATGCATGCATTTTGCATGCTTATGGTGATTTTTGCTACTTGCTGCATACTCTTCATAATTACATGTATCAATAGATTATTTTCATAATGTAACCAAATTCAATGCATGTTCATCTTTGTGAAGTTTCTCGATACAAATTATTTCATTTATCTGTTACCAATAATTGTATCTCAATATTTAGAATGCAATTTTCATACATTAGTTGTTGCTAGATGGGACAAACATTATGGCTTACCACACCTAACATGTGATATATATGCAATTTGCATTCTGACAACTGAGATTCAATTATCCTTAACGGGTGAATTAAATAATTTGTGTTTAGGCACTTCACAAAGACAGTTGCATTAAATTGGGTTACATTATGAAAGTGACCTGTTCATGGAAAGAGCTAGTAAAAGCTAAATACTGACTTTTAAAGAGTAAATATAAAAATTTCCTTGGAGCTCTATCAATAGGTTAAATAACATTTTGTGAGGCACAAATCTTTTCCTAGACTGCCATTTTTCCATTGTATCATCTATTGAGGGCCAGAAGGATATTAACACTGTACATTGATATAAATTAATGCCCCTTCGGCTCTCGGCAGACTATTTTTACTGACAGTATTTGATGGTCTTTCCATTTTTGTACATAAAAAATTGCAGAAATACCATGTAAGTTTAAATTAATATGGGCACACATGTATACCACTAGCCCACCAGCACCCCAAACCAGTATGGATACTGGAAATGGTCACATTGAGTTTCAAATTAAAATTGTGTTGAATTCAAAACTTCAAATGCTGTCAATGTTGGAGTTATGTTTGATTTTCTTCCTAAGATTTTTCGTGATTCCATAGGAGGTGAAAATTTAATTTTAATCTATTTTTTTTTTTGGAACAAAAATTCATGCGAAAAATTGAAAGGTGATGAAATGAATTATGTGTATTGTGGATCAGATCAAGCCTATTTTGTAAAAGAGATATTATTTGTGTTTATATTGCTATAATCAAGTTCATGCGAATGTATTTATGATATAGTTTTTATGTCAAAATGAAAATAAAGATATCTAACAACACTGAAATCAACCGTTTTCCTTTTGAATACATTATTTCATGTGTGGAATTCAAATGTGATGATACTACGGTAGAATCTCATTATAAGGAGGCCTTGGAACCATGTAGATTATCTTGTTATATCAAAAAAATCTTGTAAAACACCCAAAAGAATATAAAGAGCTGGGACCAGCAAAATCACCTTGATATTATATCTGAGCTCCTTATAATGAGGTTCCACTGTATTGATTCATAAACATACATGTAGTTGTATGTGTGCCTACATGATTGTATCATATAAAGAGGTGTTTAATAACTGATATACTTTAACATACATGTAGTTAACGTCCTTCTGGCTCCAACAGACGATTTGATGGTTACAAAACTTTAGCGCATAAAGTATAGTAAGTCTTTTAAAGAAAAATAATCTGCATCGTCATCCCTGAAGAAGGAAGCACACTTGGACAAAAAATACATCTTGATTTCCTGTGTGGATTTCAATTGGATGACAATAATACTAAAATTATACATTCTACTTCCCCATAACGTACCCCTAATCATATGGCTACTATGGCCTATCAAAATGTCCTGTAATAGTAGCTCTGTATGCATGAGTCATCGGCAAGTCGTGTCCTAAATATAGAGCATTTCAAAGCATTTGATGCCTCTGTGTAATGACTCGTGATGCATACATGTAACATGATATTGATACTTTGATGTGCCAGTGTGATCTGGGATTAAAACCAAATTGTTGAGTTTGTAATTGATATTTTTATATATCTGCCTCTCTATCTCTCTCTCTCTTTCTGTCTTTGTCCATCTGTCTTCCTGTCCTTTCCTCTTGCTCTCTCACTCTCTCTTTCTCTCTCTCTCTCTCTTCTCCCCTCTCTCTCTTCTCCCCTATAGGGTATATATGCCATAACTATTTTTTTTCTTTCTTTCTCTATGTAAGAATGATAAAGATATAGGAGAACCCTTATCCTTTCATGATACTGATAAAAAAGTGAAGGCAAAGTAAAAATGTAAAATTAATCGGGTAGAACCCCCCCCCTTGCTCTATCTGTCTATTAAAATAAGATGCAATTGGTTTTTTCTTTTTTACAGCCCCTATTAGGGATTTGCAAGCTCTCAAAAAAATGATTGCAGAATTCATCTGAAGCAGCAAGATGAGTTAATGAAAGTATGTCCAAAATTTCAGATCAAAAGGCTCTCATTTCGTACACAACAATTGAGGTGTATAAAACACTGCCAGTTGCAAAATTCAAATTTTGAAGAAAAAAAATTAGTTATTTTGCTAATAATTAATATTTTGCCCCATACTTTTAGGAAAGTTTTCAATTTATAACTTTTTACATTTCAGCCCTTTTACAAGTTTTGACCCCATGCAAATCCCTGCAATGTCCTTTCGAATGAATCATTTCATTTTGTATCCATACAAATTGCATGCTACAAAAATATGGCAAATTTTGATAGAAAAAAAAATATGAATTTCAACCTCAACGTGTTGGCGATTAAGGTATTTAAAGCAACCTTTTTTTTTAATTCCTAGAATCATACGCAATATCAAATGGATGGAATGTGTGCAGAAAGTTTTGCTCTTTCTACCCATGCATCTGGTATATTGTTTTAGGGCCCTGAATTAAAAGTTACTTAGCCAAACAACAAACTGTGGAATGAAGGTCGCAAAAGGGTTTACACCACATTTTCTGCTTCCCCCAAATAATATTTGTCACTGGAATATATAAGAAATCTGCATATAATGACCACTTGCCTAAAGAGATCTCTTTTCATGTCTCCCTTGAGTGGTCTTTATAGACAGGTTTCACTGTATCATCGTTGATTCAGCACTAAAACAGTACGACAATACACCTGATGGTGGCCTGTACTGCAACTGAAGAAGAAGAATATGGTCTCAGTGCATCTTTGGTAGCCGAACCATAGACAAAAAAGAAGAGACACTGTACTCCTTTTGAATTTCACTTCATCAATGATTTAATGTTCTTCCATAAATAATCAACTTCAATTTGTATCTACATTGGGGTCATGATAAATGTTCAGATTCACAACATTATTACGCACAAGAATACCATGACACATCACATACAGGTGAATGTACTACTGTAGTTCAAGAATCATCTTTGGAAACATGTATAAATCTAATCCCATTTCACAATCCTGGTAATTCATGATTTGCATTCTAAAATTTACTGACATTTTTCTTGCATGGTTAGAAATGATGACGACTTATGATGCGATTTCAGGACCTCTGCGGAAAAACAAACTTACCATTGATGGTAACTTTGCCGCCAATATTAGCTACCA